TTATTAATAAATAATGTACAACATTTGAGATGTTTACATCTCAACCTCAGGCGAATGTTTTGCAATGACCTTCCAATCAAGTAGTCTCATTTGTACATACGTAAATTAAATTTCATCACAGACAGGGGTTTATTTATTTAATCGTTCTTGAAATACACTTAAATTAGCAACATATCATAAAATATTTGTTTTGGCTAATTTACAGATCGTCAAAAACAATAACCCAGGAAGCTCGTCGTCAATTCCGTCTGAGATCGGCTCAGGTGCACTAAATACGGACTTGCCTCCAATACGCTTTTTGTCTCCGAAAGATCGGACTTTTCTTAACAAAGAGATCAAAAGCCCAAACATATGGCCTGTTATTGCCGCTGACATTAGATGGGATGGAAGCGCTGAAAGAAAGCGGGAGCCGTGTGACGTGGTCTTATCTGCAGTGGGTGAATCCTTTCTGGAAATGCTGAAATTATTTAGAAGGGTCGAGGCCAGAGCGCATGTTGACATGAAAAAAAGTTTGGAGATTATTTCTGTAAGTATGAGCAATATGGATGTGTTTGCAGTATGTATATAAACCTTGTCATTGTGTCCGTGAACATGCAATTGTGCCAGTTGTGAGCGTATGTGTTGGTGTGTGTTGTGTGTGGGTTTACGTTTTGTGCGAGAGTGTGTGTGTGTATGTGTGTTTGTGGTGTTGTGGATGTATGTGAAGTGGTATAATAAGTTTTACATTTTACACCGAATATACAGAGAAAATCTGAGGCACATTCTTAGCCATGTATAATGTAAAATACTGAGGAAACTTAAGCAATTTTCCTTTCAAGCTAAGGTATACGCAATCTAAAACCATTCACAGAAGGATCCAATATGAGCTCCAAATGTTGGAGTGCAATTCACAATAAGTCTTCATCTCCATTATGACTGACTCAAAACTCAAATACTAGAAACAGGTTCAAGGACCGTAATTCTGTGAACTGTTTTACATATATAATGTACCCTAAGCTTGTGATTAAAAGATAATCCTAAACGTTTCCTGAAAATTGAAATTTTGCTGCATGAAGACCTAACATTCATTGCCTGTCGTTATTTATCTACTTCTAACAGATAGTCACGATAGCAAGGCTATTTTACCAATATAAATTAATATTTTATTTTTAATTGACAGGATGCCCGCATCCTAGAAGCAAGGTACGAGAAGTTGAAACGTCACACCCATGAAATTGTAAACAGCGTTGACCCTAAGGATGTATATATACAGCTTTATGCTGATGGGATATTGACATTCCACGACAAAGACGAGATAGAAAGAGCTTGTACAAAGTCCATGCGGGATGGATGCACCATTTTACTGAATAAAATCTCTCTTTGTCCTGTGGAGAAAGACCCGATAACCAAGCTGTGCAATGCTTTGCGCGACCAGAACTGTAAAAGAATGGCAGACCTCCTTGAGTAGTCGTTAGATGAAATTGAACAAAAAAAAAAAAAAAAGCCTTGACCATCTTTGAGAAAAGAGCTTTGTCCACCGATGAATACATTTGATAAATTCTAATGGATTATTAGGCAAAATAGTAATTAATTTCAAATTTGTTTTTCAATAGTACGGTTATCTTTAAATGGTATTTTTGGTATTATACATCAATTTAGAAAAGGAAAAAAAAATGCTTGAAATTCACTTTAAACATCGGTTTTTATTTTGTGGAAAAAAGATAGTGGGGTAATTTTGTGAATTTTACAGATACTGTATTTTCCAAGTCATAATTTCTTAAAATTAGAGCATTCCTATTGGATGGTACATGTTGCAACAACATTAAAAGCAAGCTACTCTATACTTCTATTTTCTGCAGTAAAATCACCACAAATGCTATATAGAAGCATAATTTTTGCGATTATAAAATTATGCAACTGAAAATCTGATAATTTCTGCCCATTGAAATATATTATTTTGTGTGTTATAACAGGGACCTTTCATTTTCATCTCATATTTAAAGTTCCTTAATGCATTACCATTATTACACTAAGAAAAAAAAAATTTGAAAGAAAAATATGCCCAAAATATTATTAGCAATACCAAAATTGTTAATTTCAATTGCTTGTGCCATTGCATAATTCTTAATCATTTGTAAATTAAACTGTGAATTATATGTATCAATCTTGCATGTATGAATGCTATGAATAAAATGTCATTTAGCCATAATGTATTGTTTAGAGCCCAAAAGATGTTTGCACTCACAGCTTGAAATTTAACTCTTAGCTAGCAAAACGTCAATTTTGTTATATTAACTTACTAATAGAGAATCAAAAATGGCCCATCAGTAGCTAACAATGGCTGAACTAAACGAGCCATTCCTGTTAAATAATCAATGTGTTAATACATTACTTTTATATCATATGTAAACACGTATATTTTCTCTATCTTAAATCATAAAATTGAGGTACATATATAATACAGCAAAATGCTTTTCAGTTACACCAAAAATTTAGCGAATTTTTATGACTGAAGTTGGTCACACTAGCATTGACACCTTTATAAAACACTACCTGTAATTCATTTTGACTTTAAGTCATATTTTTCATTATTTGTTTTAGAAAAAAAATTAACTTTCCTTTTACTCTAAGAACTGGCTGACTGCATTATTCCTGATAGGACCTTGAACCCAATTTAACTGAATTAAACTCAACTAAAATATAGACTTGTCTGCTTTGTCCCTCTGTATATCAGCAAGTGGTCACTGAATTCACCAACATTTTGACCTTTCATTATAGCCTACTACTAGTAATACATACAGAGATTTAAGATCTTTAAAGTCAGACTAATTTCCTGCTTAATGTTTTGCAATTAAGCAAAAGTTTAAATTTTAAACTGACTTCTACATGTAATTCTTGATAGAATTAACAAAATGAGAAATAATACTGTAATATCAGCACCAATGATAAATTATAAAATCATTTCTTTATATTTATTAGTATTCCTAGTTCATATTATAACCTCCTCCCCCCCCCCCAAAAAAAAAAAAAACAAAAACAAAAACAAATAAAACAATTATGATAAAATAAAATAAAAATGTATAATAACACAGTTTACACATGTCGTTTCACATGATAGGAATGTGCATTCAAAAATGTACGAGACTCGTACAAGTACGTAGTGACAAATGCTGGGAAGTCTCGCTTGGTGACTATCTCTTCAAATATTTCTGCTGCAGCCAAAAGTCTGTGCCTAGAGGGCTCAGAGTTGAAATCAAAGTGAGGGCTGAGCATGGTTTGTTGTACTAATTTCCCAATAGCCTCCTGAACCAGGTGTCTTGTCACTTTGACAGTGGTGCCCTCTATATAAGCCTGATGCTTGATCCACTGCCAAACCTGATGAAACAAGGCAAAATGTTATCCAACTACTCAATTGCCAAGATAAATGACAAGAAAATTAAATCCAAATTAATAAAACAAATTCATAGTTTCTGATCATAGAATCTTTTAAACTTTTCTGCAATGAAAATATTGCTGTCTTGAATAATTTCTTTAGCCTAGCTGTAACAAAATGCAACATGTTAAAAAACATAAACATGACTGTTTTACCTTTTGGAATGCACTAAGCTGAGCATCATTATTCTGAATCTAAAAATGCACAGAAATTATCATTATGGAAATTCTAAACACTGATAGGACCCATGCTTTTTTTTTACCTGTGAGCGTGAAATTTCTGCTGTGGCTGAATCTTCCACACACCCTTTATAATAGAAATGCCCTTTTCCTCGAAGCCATGCTTCAATAAAGAGTACACCTACACTGATGTTGTGCAGAAGACCTTCTTCTGTTACTCCTCCCTGTAGGAAAACAACATAAATCTTTAAGTAATCAGATAAAATGACTCGCGTGGTCAGAAATTTTAAGTACACACTGGACTTTGATTTTTGAATTATTCACTACTTACTTTTCAAGAAAATGCCTCTTTTAACAACAGCTAGTTTACTGCATTTCAGGTCACTTTTCAAATTTTTTTTCATCATTTATAATTTCAATTTTAAAGTTATTAAGTAGTGCAATAGCTAATTCCATTTGAATTATAACATGCCTTTCCAGCACAAAGAGGAATACCGTATGTATACTTGGAAAATACAAAGTTAATACTACTTGTAAAGACTGACCCGGCCACATAATCAAGTTATAAAATCCATTCAAGCAAAGTTCAACAAAAGTTGAGATATTTATCAACCCTGTCATGCATTAATTAAAAAAAAAAATACTGATTGTTTTCCTTTCCAGGAGCTGTGTTGTAAGGCCACCCACAGATGCATTTTGCCATTGTGTTAGGTGTGACAGCTCAACCAACACATCTATACTCTAAACTGGTGAAAGTTGTATGGCCTTGGATGTATTTTTGCATGAAAAAATGAATGATGCTGTTCAAGTGGCACATATTTTTTAAAAATATCTTTAAAAAGATCATTTCTTAATTATTGAAGTTCTGCCATAACGCAGTTTGTGTGACCTCCAACCAAGGTGAACCATTTCCTGGCCTTATCCAGCTGCCCGAAAAAAGTTGTTTTTCAAATCAGATGAACCGCAAGGACCCTGTTTTTCAAAACAGTTACTAATGAGTGTCACAGACAATGTGACTGGGAGGTCTTTCCATAGCTACCAAGAAGGAAACTGTACCCACATAAATCGATATATCATACGTAATGAACAACCACAAATTATATCCTTTGTTTGTGGTTTTATAGAAACTGATTGAAAACTGAAGGAGAATTCAAAATGCATGTGAAAATGTGATAATGCTCATTTTTCTTATTTTGTAAAGAAATGAAAAAGAAAAACTGAACAGAAAAAGATAATCACTGCACGGTTTAAAAAAAATGATAAGGGTTTTATTTGTTTAAAGGTTCAATGAAACAAAACTTCAGGAGAAGATAAGGAGGCAAACTGTGGCCCCCAACTGAGCAGGAAAAGAGATAGACCAAGAGACAAGTCTATTAGCTTACAGTTCCAAACTAATGCAAACATGTAGATAACATATATGTTTAACTTGATTGTAGAACTAAAATCTTAAATTTCATGTCTGGGCTCCTTATATTTTTTGCAATCTTTTTTTTTTTAATTTCAAGAGAGTCAGTAAAAGAGTATCAACTACTAAGTAAACACAGTTGTATAATAATCAAGATGGTTTTCTGAAATCATTCAATTAAAATGCTAAATTAATTAACTGCATGAACATATATAAAAAAAAAAGTAATTTTCCCAGAATGAAACTTTTGACAGATTAATACCTGCCTGGCAATCTCAATTTTAGCATTGCCTGGTGACATGTAGTGACCTCTAGTGTGGCAGCATGGTCAATTTGGGGGTGTTACTGAAAAAAGCGTACCCACGCTCCCTGAATGCAGCACTTCTTTCCCATACTTTGTAGCAAGAGAGGTTCTGTAAGATGTTTTCTGCTGCATTTACTAAATACTTACAGCTGGCATTCTCAGCAAATCACCTGCGGTCACTTTCACGTCCATCCTCTTAACACCATTCTGATTGACACCAGGTGCAAAACGCTTAAATAGCTGGAATGATGATGTAACAGTTATATCAAAGTTATTATGAAACATGAACAATGGTAAACAAGTTACAAAATCAAAGTCTAACTTCCTCTGCAGCTCATATTTTTGGGATATATTTCAACAGGTTGCAGAATGGATAACATTTTGATTTTCTAGCTAGCCTACTACTTATGCAATAGATTAGCTTGTGGTCAGCATGCCTATTTTCTCTTCTTGGCAGAAGTGGTTAGCTGTACATATATACAGGCTGTCCTTAAATACATCACTTTTCAATATGTGACAAGGTTTCTCAGTTAAATTTTTACTATTAATACCTATTACTTAATTCATTATCTACTTAGTATACATATTTCAACTAAATAAAATGTTTTTCAAAATCTAAGTTCTACTGATTACATCCATTTTTCTGTATGTCCAGACTTCTAGGGCATCCTATTTATAAACCAAAATTATCCAGTTATTTAGTGGACTTCTTTTTAATCACGGATAAAAATGAAATTTAACTTTTTGGGGTTGGTTTCACAAAGAGTCTAAGGTCAGCTTTTGGGGCCTCAGTTCTTGATTAGCCTACTAAGATCCAGCTTACAAAGTTGCCTTTCATAACTTTTAACTAAGCCCCCTTGAACAAATTAAGATTGCCTTGAAGAAGGAATTCACTCTCATTGGTGACATTAACCAACTAAGGTCGCCATACATACATGTACATACATAGTAACATATATATATATATATATATCAGTAAAATGCGGCCCTCCATAGGTTTCGTTTGCAAGTGTACAAAGGGAGAGTAACAGAAAACTTCTATATACAGGGCCATTAAGGTAGGCTTTTTTTTTTCAAATTTTTCAAGTCAATCATTCTAAAAACATCTTGGACATTTGTGCACTGGCTTTCCAATTTTACTAGACTAAGTCTAAACTTAGCACAGGAAAGAATTTTATGTGTGTGTTTGTGTGTGAAAAAGGACCTTGGTGTATGAGAGCAGTTATATGAAGAAAGGTTGGAGGTGCATAATTATATTGCTGGATAGAGACTTTGGTTTCATGTAAGAATGTTCATTTTCTCCATTTCTCAATTAAAATGGAACAAAAGCTACAAACAAGCATAATGGTAGACATCAATATTAGCCACGAGAATCTTATCATTATTATTTCTCTTTGTCCAACTTTGAGGTAGGGGTATACTGTGTCGTCATGAAAAATGCAGAAAATCATTCAACAAATCTGGTAAAACTGTCACAGACTTAAAATCACATTCAGCTGTTTTATTTTGAATGTTTAATTCTTTTTGATACTGGACAGTCCTGTAGAAAATCAACCAAGCTGTAGGAAATATTACTCTAATAAGTTTTCATGTACTAAATAATTTCCCTTTTAAGGTCTTCTGTCCTAACTAACACTTACACTAGGTTGATCGACTTAATTACGGAGGTATTTAATCTAATTGAACTCTACAGGTTGATAGACATTAACAAAATTTATCAGGAATTTTGGTATTAATAAGAAATTTGAAGTTCAAGTTCATTAACGAATTCCCGTGGCAGCAATCAGTGTTTTTCATAGAAACCAATGCCTAAAAGATTTCCGTGTATGCTCAATCAGCACATTTAATTTAAGAGAGGACAATTCTCTAATTATCCAGAATATCACAGCAAAAGAGTAATTAACATGCCACATCCAATGCATTTAAGGGACCATTCCCAGACCCTATCGTACTAACAGTGGATCGATCTATCTCCAAGGGGATTCTCGCTAAATTGCAATCAGCATAAGCAGCTTAGATGTCTGTCACGCCTACTGAAGCTGGTAGGGGGTTATTAATTATCATGTAGCAGCTTCAGTAGGTGTGCCAGACTTCTAAGCCCCAAAAGCAATTTAGGGAGAAACCCTTTGTAGATGGATCGATCCTGTTAGATTGATCTAGGTATGGGAACCCAATCTAAGGTTTCCACATCCTTAGAAACACATGCACTGTGTTGACCAATCCATTCAATGTCAGACTCTGACAAAACTAATTAAGAAACCTATAAAATAAACCTTCAATGAGGTACTTAAAGTTTAAGCCTAATTAACACCCTAATTACTTAATGCAGTACAAGGACACAAACAATAAGTACTGATGTACCATTTAGCAGAAAATAGTACTCGACTATCTTCAAGGTACCCAGGTACTCAGCAATTTCAAAGACTGGGGGGTGGGGGGGGGGGTTAAAAAAGTGGACCTTTTAACATGAAACCTTTGTGTACCTAGATCAATTTTAACCCACAGAGCCTTTAGAGGTCAGCATAGCAAAAATCAATTTTTCAACTTCAAGTTGATTGTATTTTTATTCCCTTTCAAGATTGGGTTTCACAATCACCATCTTTTTCTCACTGGATAAAAGGTGTTTTAGTTGCACTCAAATGTGTAGAAAATGTTGGGAATGTCCTTCTGCTGTTGCAGTGGCAAACCGCTGAAACTGCTACACACTGTCTGAAAAGGAAATTGGAATCCCACAGCAAAGATGACTAAATTCATAAAACACTAGACTTACCTCTTGCATGACTTTAACAAGGCCAACATCATACACCATAAAGCCGTCTACACCAGCATGGATCTCTTTCAATTTTGAACTGTAAAAAAATAGTACAAGACAAACATTAAACAAGAATCCCCATGGTGTCTTTGTAATTTGCAAACTTTGGATTCAGAGCAATTTTTCATCAACTACACAAACCATTCACTACACTACTGGTCAATTTTACCTTAAAATATTCTGTTCTGCCGACATTGATTATACAAGTGCATAACAATATGTCCAAAGCATAAATGATTGCTATAAAAAAATTTACTTAACACAGAAGAGCACAAATGTTGATAGACTGAAGTCTATGATTAAGTTAGATAGGCATTCCATCCCCACGTGCAACTTCAGCAGTGGAAATAATTACTGTCACAGTATCTTTCAGTAAGGTTATTGTTCTTGTGTTTAGTTATTTTTAAAATTTTTATTGGTAATTCAAAATTGAAATTTTCCACAAAAAGACTATGCTCTAGAAGTCAATGGCTACATCCTGAAATTCAGAGGATACTGGGGAAGTCATTTTACTGTCAGTCACCATATCATGGACCTATGCAACTTCAGGGTGCCTTTGAAAATAAGTACTTGGTTTAACTATAATGTGAATTTTTGAACCCATTAAGAAGAGCAGACTAAAAGATATGCAGATCAAATGTGGCGATCAACTAAAAAGCTTGCTGCTTTATTCCCCAATAGATGCTGAATAGATTCCCTGTAGGGATTACACAACAAGCATTCAAGTGGGTCAGCCATATTTGATCCACAGATCTGTTAGTCCTCTGTTCTAAATGTGCTCTTATAAAAATTTAGGAAAATGGAAAGAAAATTTATCGGTAATGCTTTAGTCTTAAATAACATGACATCACATTATAATTTTCCTACAAAACCTTACTACATGTACCTCAAAATGGTACATGTAAGTTACTCAAACACAGTCTATGAGTTCACCATTTTCTACCCCTCTCATTTTTGTAATCTTGAAATAAAGTGTGACATCTAAGATTCAGAATAATATAAAAAAAAACTGATGCAGATATACAATTGCAATTTTATTCACAGTGTAAGCTACTACTGGTAACTCCTATTCCTAGCCATGATATCAAATGTATCTACCTTGCTGCTCTTTCAATCACCTGTTGCCTAGCAACCCAGTCATCTGGCAACAACAATGCTGACATGCCCCCAGTAGCGTGACAACCACGTTTGTGACAAATTTGAATGAGAAGATCCATATAGCTTTTCAAGAAGTGACGGTCCATGTTTACATATTTGCTGCGATCAGGCAGGACAAAATCTTTTCTGTGACCTAAAAATATAATTCCCATCACTGATATTATATTAGGTATCAAACTTTTATAAAAGTATCATTCATTTATTTTAGAACTAGAATAATTAACCTTCAAATATCTCAAATATCATTTCTAGTCTTTAATGCAATAAAACACGTTTGTGCAAGGAGTCCCAATACATATTTTAATAACCTAAATATGATTAGGTTATTAAGTTTCACGATCTTTATTCAAATCATTTTGTCACCCTTAGTTAGAATTCACTTTGTATGTATCTACCCTTTTCAGAGAGAAATTGACTGACTTTCTGGTGACTCACATTACATATCTCAACATTTTTATTTTGTGATGTTCTGCATTATGATGACAAAGGAATAAGATATTTCCTCTTGATGAGACACATAACTATTAGGTATTAGGGAAAGACAAAAGAAATACAACTGAAATATCAAAAAAAAAAAAAAATACTCAATTCTATTAAATCTTTTAATGTTTCACTTCTGTTTTGATTCATGACTGCAGTGGTTTTAAGAAAATGCCGAAACAGTGGGAGAACCTCGGCTTTGGCTTCAAAGTGGCTTCAAACACAAAAGTGTTTGACTTTAATCAAGGTGTGATGAAAAAAAAAAAAAAACTACCTGACAAAATTCCAAATATTGTATCAAAAAGGCATCAAAGTCAATCACAAGCAAAACCAGCCTGTAATGCTCTTTCTCTTGATTTATTTTTCTAAAAAGATCCTCTAATATTGAACCAGACTTAGAGTAAAACCTAAACATCATTCAGAAAAGGGTGTCAATAACATGACTGCATTTACCACAAGACACGTTTTCCAAACTTAAATAAAAGGAATTAAATGAATCACACTAAAATATAGTTACTGTTACTGTAACCTTTATATAATTTCTATGATAAAAATATAACAGGAATTATACAGGCACTGCAAGGACTCTATGTATGTGATATAACAGCAAATAGCAACATTGGATTCAGGAGTCAGAATAAAGCAACACACTAATCATATATAATTCAACAACACAGGAGCAGCATATGGCATCAAGCCAATTAACTTATTACTTCACTTAACAACCAATACTGGTACATGAAGATTGACAAGCCTACTGAGGGCCTTTACTTAGAGTGTGTGTTTTATAGCATAATGGAATATGAAAAAAAAAAATGAAAAGTGGATATTTCAACTCATTTGGCAGGGGTGCTAGAAAATTTGAAAATTGTACACAATGATCCCAACCAAAGATAAACAAAATTTACCAAAAAATATTAACTCCATAAAACACAATTTTCTGCACCTGATATTATCATTTATCATCAGATCAATCTCTTTTGGTACTGAAGGTTTTAGATTTTGTGCAGAAATGGACTCACTTCAAAATATAAATAAATAAATAAATAAATAAATAAATAAATAATAGGCAGAGCAGACAGTGCTAGCTTGACTTAAGGATAGAGGAATAGACAATTTCACTCAGGTAGTACTGTAAAAACTGAAAATCCCGAAAAAGTATCTTGCAATTGCTCATCACATTTAGACTTTAAAAAAAAGCGAATCAAATGAAGACAGAAAATCCTGAAACCAGGCAAAATCCTAAAAACTTTCACCTATGTACTTTTATCAGAAAAACCAATATAATCGCAATTCTACTTACTAGTCTATTTTTTTTTTCTACTTTACTTATGAGCATTACAAGTGCAGTCCCATTTTTAAGACTAATACATAACATTTTGTACGTAACATAATATACAGATTGGGGGATATGTTTTCCGCCATTAACATTTAACATCCTATATGAAATAAGTTCTCAAAATCAAGTGAGGTATGATAATCAAGATGACATTTCACCTGACCTTTTGGTAGCTTATCCAGGAATTACCATCAACACTGTTTATTTCAAAATTAGCTAATTCTACATAAATCCCTTAACATATTTGAGAAGAAATAAAGCTGTAATGTTAAATTTCCAAATTCTTCAATATATTCTGGTAAGAATCATGAAAATAGCTCACCAAACTTGTTCACAAATGATGCAGAATAGTCCCATATCCCACAGTTCAGTCCGGCTGAGTGGTCTCTTAGCTCGTATAAGATTTCTTCCATCTCAAATGTGGCCAGGATGTTCTCAATGAGAACACAGGCTTTAATGCTGCCATGCGGGAGACCAAGCTGAAGAAGTCAAACATTCACCGATAAAGATCTCTCCCACATACATTTCAACTTCTTTGTGTGCCAATTTTACTATGTTTCTTACATTTTATTCTCATCTATTCATTTTTTTTATTTCTGAAGAATGGCACCTCTTTCTCCCTCAATTATAATATTTGCTATTATATTACATTTAATAACCAAGATGGATTTTTATTTATCTTTGAACTTGAAAATATATCTTCCCTTTTGGTATTATTTGGTAACAACTCTCTAGAATCTCTCGATCTCTCTCTCTTCACCCAGCCCTGTCCTACATCTTTTTTTTCTTTTCTTTCTTTTTTTTTTGGTGTGGGTGTGGGTGGAGTTTGAATTGGAAAAAGGATTGTCTGTGAAACAAAAATTATTTTCAAATGAGGGAAATGGGGTAAATAACATGATAGTATTAACCTTCAACTCTCCCTATTATAAAATACCTTTTGTTCTGTCCAGGTAAATATTTTATCCCACAAACGAGCTTCCAAGAACCCCTCTACCTGAAAACACCAACAACTTCAACTGAAAATATACAGATCAATTGTCAACCCTGATATTTTGAAACATCCAACAGCTTACAGGGGCGGATCTAGAGATATTTTCTGACAGTCTTCCATATTATATTTGTTGGTCCATCCTCCATTTTTTGACCGTTTTCCGACAGAAAAAATTAGATACCCGTCAATGTAAACTTGAAAATCTGACCGTCTTCCGGAAGACCCAGAAGACGGCCTAAATCCGCCCCTGGCTTATATAAAAATATTTAAGCAAAATGTACAAAGACTACAGTGTAAGTTCTGTTTGACATAAGTCAAGACTTCCCACGTCTCTTTTAAATTGTCATGGAAGTGCACCTGAAGAATATCTACAGTCACTGTTACCGTGTTGATTTTAGCCACGGTGTTAATTATGGAAAGCTTTATTATAACGAAGCTCAAGTGTCCCATCCCTCATTGGTAATATTTCAGACAATTACCTTTAAATGAGCCCCTCTCCCTAAGAAAAATTATAACTCCAGTTGTGACAAACTTAACGTAGTTTGTTTTGAGTACCTTGGACAAATAGAAGTATGGCCCACTTTCCATCTTAAACAGCCTCTGACCAACATGGAACATCAACAGCCCAAAGTCTACCAGGGGACCTGGGACCTCTTGACCTGCCACCTAGTGGATGCGTAATTGTTAATAAAAAAAAAGAGAGTTAATTATAATTAAAATATGTCCTAATTTTAATTAAAAACTCTTGAGGATTGCTCCCCACAAATATTTTGAATTCCACAGCCACTGAAATTAACTAGGCAAAATACAAAAAAGCATTTACTGTTAAGTACATATTCTGATCAAGATGCAATTAAGCTTTTTTTTTTTTTTTTTTTTTTTTTTTTTTTGCTTTTCAAGGCCTTAATTTAACTTATACCATATTAATTTGTACATCTAAACATTTGATTTTTGCATGATTTTTAACTGCAAGTCACTCAACTGTCTGATCAAAATCTTAATTATCCAAACATTTTACCAGGCTCATGATAAGTAAGTGAAATTTGTCTGAAATTGATATTTCCATACATCATTTTATTATAGGCTGAGATTGAGCATGCAGTAATACATAAATCCTGAAATAACATTTGTTACCAAAATACTGTGCTCCACCATGTTCCAAGCACGAGGTCTTAACATCAAAACTGGGGCTTTCTCAATACACGGAACATCTGGAAATAAGAGATTATTACATTTTTTTTTTCATTGGATAAACAAGAAAGAAGAAATCAAGTTACTACAAAACCTTGTCAATTACATAACATACAATGTCAAATATTTTTTATTTTGTTGAAATTTGATTTTTTTTTTTTAAACTGCTTACAATTTAAACAGGGAACTGTTCTGAGTAAACCAAATACTTGGTTTCTGTATCTAAGGCTCTCATGTAAGGCCCATATTATTTTTCATCATAAGCAATTACTTTTTCAACAAATCATCCAAATAAACACATTCAGGTATTATATCCATTCACTTCAACATGGTTTTCTTCCCCCAAATTTTCCTTAGTTCAGTAAAAAGAAATGCTGGTAATAAAATGTCACAGTGCGTTAACATATCCTAGTATGTAATTTCAGCAACTATCATTTGTGGTAAAAACTGGTTTATAATTTGATATTCACATCACATGTATATTTCTCTGAAAAACCCTTATTGAATTTTTTTCTTGTCTAAGTAACTGAGGTAGCCGCTAAATACAACTCAGATGTATCAGGTCTTTATAGGAAATGCTAGCGCAGGAAATTACTGGTTTCGACTCTGATCATAACTGACTTCAGATAAGATTTACAGGGAAATGAAAATAAAGTTATCTGTTAGAAGTCAACTTTCATAAATCAGAACCACGGTCTTATGAGGATGAGGAAACACGTGAAAACGTGCACACATGCAAAAACACATGCTGGAACACATGTGAAAGAGACTAGCACAAAACCCATGCAAGAACTTCAAATACTTAGGAAAACTTAAGAGCGCGAAACCCTGTGACAATTCAGTCATCTTCAACTCAAAATCAAATGCCAGTGTTGAACAATTTTTTTCTGTACGAAAAACCAATCCAAGGGGACACCAAATAGAAACATGTATTTAGGCCTTCTTCTAAACCAGTCAGGAACCTTTAAGGAAACTCAAAGTAATCTCTTCCAACATGTTACAAAAAGCCTTCATTAGTTCTAGTACAGAAGATTAGAATGATAGTCTTTAAGTTAGTGTCTTCCACTTCAGAGAAATGCTTACACATCCCTTAAAGAAAATTCACTCGATACCCTCATTTTTCCACTCTAAACATACTGTTCAGAGATATGGGGCGATTCTGTGTCCAGTGATAAATGCCCTGCAGACACGCTGAAAACTTTTCAGAATGACCGGACATTTGGACAGGCAGTAATGAAAAATTTGCCGGACTGAATGGATTTTTGTCGAACCGAAAATCCCTATTCATTTGAGACTGATACTGCCAGTAAGATTAGGGTAGCTTACTTTGTTAGTGAATGTGATATACTCATGTAGGTTTGAAATGGAAGGGAAAAAACGCTTTGGGTTTTATATAACTTTATAAGTGAAGTATGTCGAATGATGACCGTAAATTCAAAATTGCTGCTCTTAAAACTCTTGTCGGTCCTTTGGACCAACGATGTCCAATTTTTTACTGGTCCAGACAAATTTTCCCGGTCATGACCGATCGGACAAACAGTTTCAGCATGTCTGGCCCTGCAGAAAAATGGCATCTAAAATTTTGCAAACAAATCCTTGGACCCTATCGAAACATATCCAACTACGGTGTGTACACAGAGTTTGACCACCTTCCCCTCTATACCATAATACAGTCTACATCTATCAAGCTGTGGTGTAAAATTATCCAAAAAATAAATAAATAAATAAATAAATAAATAAATATACTTTACCAAAAATGTGAAAGAGCATGTATGTTGAAATAGTCACAAATTATGACACTCTAAAATTATCAGCCCTTGCTTAGCTATGTCTTAATGAACATAATTCCACATCAAAACTGGGGGGGGGGGGGGGGGGGCACACCAGGTCAAAAACTGAAAGGTGTGACAGAACCAGTCACCTGTGTACCCATGGGGCAATTGAAAATAAATACCACTTTATACTTCAATGCCCGATGTACAAAACAGACCGAGAAACCTGGAAGTTCTTTAGTAAAATCTCAATCCTAAAAGCTGATACAAAGTCACCAGAAAGTCAATTATGTAGAGTTTTTAACAGTGCCAACAAATACAATTTAGTCTCCCTCTCCAATTTATTAATAAAATCATTCAAGAAAAGAAATGAAGTGGTAGCTCTGCTTGGTAACTCTTAGGACATTCCTTGAAAAAAAAGTCAGCGTGTGCCCTCTCATCAGTGGAAGTAAACATGGCACATGGTCAAGAGTCACAATATTTATGTAACTATGTTATTTACTTAATATCTATTTAATTACGTAGTTGTAGTTCTTCCTCTCCAGCTTATAAATTTGACTCACTCTGTACTGTGTGACCTATGATTGTGGCCATATGCTTCTTGATATGTGTTTATGGTAAACTTATAATTACACCAAGAAGTTCTATCTCACCGTTTAGCTTGAATATATTATTAGTAAATTTAACTTGTACATCAGATATGTATTTGTTCAGACACATACTGGCAACACAATTACTAATAAGAGAATGGGAGTGCACAAATTGTATAGTTGTTATAATTGTATATTAATATTTTGTATTGTAAAAGGTCATGATAATCTATGTACCAGTACAGAAATGAACTGAGTACATACGAAACATGCTTGTCTGGTAACATCAGTCTGAAACTCACTTTTCTTTTTGTCTGAGTACACCTTCATTAACCATTGTCCATTATTATGTTTATTGGTCAGACAGTCCTTGAAGCACATTGGTCAGAAAAAAAATTAAGATCTTCATTTGGTTTTAACTTCATTCATTTGGGGTTTAATTTCATAACCTTGCAGACCAATGAATATTCAGACCCATTTTTAAATGTACCAAACTAAAAATTGTCAGTTTTTCGTCATTTTTCCAACATTCAGATCAAAGGATTGTTAGACTAATAAACAATGAAACCAGTATAAAAACCCATTTAAAACATATAAAAAAGCTTTACTGGACAATTGTAATCATCATAATTCAGTAATTATAATGGGTGAAGCAAGGGCCATTTATGAATGAAGATATTGCATTTTGACATCATCTTTCATCAGATTTTATTTAAAACATATTGATATTAATATACTTATATTAATATTAAGATTTATTTTCTTACCTGGCAAAAGGTTGTGGACAGACAGGTAAACATTATACCAGCCCAGAAGCTGATTAGACTTAGTCGGACAGTGACCATCGTCAAAGTCAGTCTAAATATAAAATCATATTGAAAAATTACCATCAGTTTATAATATGTAACTAAGCAATAAATACATAAATAAATAAAGTTTACTTTTGAATTCACAAAGATGGTAAGGATTAAACTCCACAAATAAACAAAAAAGATCTGATGAAAAACAAATTAGACCTTAGACTAGAGAGGAGGCTTTTAGCCTGGTAAAATCACCTAGTAGTATATTTAACAAATTCTTTTTTTACAAAATGTAAGTCAGAGAAGAATCTCATCAGCTGTGTCATGCTATAAAAATTAAGTAATTTTTTTTCTTCAATCAACAGCTTTATATTGGAGTAAATACTGAAGGTAAACTATTTCAATAATAAGCTGTTCAATGAAGAAAAAATTACCTTACTCTTTTCTTACAAAAGATTTCAACAAGCGTAATATGAACAATTGTGCATTACTATTACTGGGGATATATATGGCTAGATTGTTATTACATACTAGTAATTTTGTGGTAAGCAGCATCAAACTACTTCATCACTGATAATCAAATTGTACCAAAGTACATACCGTAAACAAAACAAACATGAATATCAAGCCAATTCATTTTGATGAATGCAAATTTAAGAGGTGATAAAAAAATTAATGAAAATTTAAAGATTCATGAACAAATAGACAAAGGAGGAGCACAAAGAAAAAAATCATTGTTCATCGACTGTTTTATGCAGCTGGATCACATTTAACAAGAAGTGCTATTCCAAATGTGTTAACCACAAATAGGAGATTTTGAATTACTAATTGGATCTGCACCTCTGACCAAAATCAAGNATTTTAAAACCGGGTGCATAATTTTGAAAGCCACCTAGATTAACCTTAGACTGCCACATTAATCTAATACAATGCAAAAAAGCCCTATCACAAGTGGTTAAAACATTCAAACCGAATGTCGTAAAGTCCCCATATATCCCCATAGAGACAATAAAATAGAGTACTCTTTAGAAAGTAAGAGTACAGTTTAAGGTTGTTCAGCCGAGCGTGGATGAGCCCGCAGTCGTGCTACAAAATTTGTTCTGGGGTATGATACTCCGAAATGCGATCTGACACACACCTTGAAAACGGGTAGCGTGGTCCGATATACGGGTTAATTCAGGATCCTTAGGTGCCGAGTCTGGTAGGTGGGTAGGCCTGATTTTCCCACTCTAAACATACTGTTCAGAGATATGGGGCTACTCTCTGTCAAGTGATAACTGCCCTGCAGAAAAATGGCATCTAAAATTTTGCAAACAAATCCTTGGACCCTATCAAAACATATCTAACTATGGTGTGTACACCGAGTTTGACCGCCTTCCCCTCTATACCACAATACAGTCTACATCTATCAAGCTGTGGTGTAAAATTATCCAAAAAAATAAATAAATATGCTTAACCAAAAATGTGAAAGAGCATGTATGTTGAAATAGTCACAAATTATGACACTCTAAAATTATCAGCCCTTGCTTAGCTATGTCTTAATGAACATAATTCCACATCAAAACTGGGGGGGGGGGGGGGGGGGGGGGGGCACCAGGTCAAAAACTGAAAGGTGTGACAGAACCTGTCACCTGTGTACCCAAGGGGCAGTTGAAGATAAATACCACTTTATATTCCAATGCCCAATGAACAAAACAGACCAACAAAGCTGGAAGTTCTTTAGTGAAATCTCAATCCTAAAAGCTGATACAAAGTCACCAGAAAGTCAATTATGCAAAGTATTTAACAGTGCCAACAAATACAATTTAGTCCCCCTCTCCAATTTATTAATAAAATCATTCAAGAAAAGAAATGAAGTGGTAGCTCTGCTTGGTAACTCTTAGGACATTCCTTGAAAAAAAAGTCAGCGTGTGCCCTCTCATCAGTGGAACTAAACATGGCACATGGTCAAGAGTCACAATATTTATGTAACTATGTTATTTACTTAATATCTATTTAATTACGTAGTTGTAGTTCTTCCTCTCCAGCTTATAAATTTGACTCACTCTGTACTGTGTGAACTATGATTGTGGCCATATGCTTCTTGATATGTGTTTATGGTAAACTTATAATTACACCAAGAAGTTCTATCTCACCGTTTAGCTTGAATATATTATTAGTAAATTTAACTTGTACATCTGTTTATTAAGTAAAGATATGTATTTGTTCAGACACATACTGGCAACACAATTACTAATAAGAGAATGGGAGTGCACCAATTGTATAGTGTTGTTATAATTATATATTAATATTTTGTATTGTAAAAGGTCATGATAATCTATGTACCAGTACAGAAATGAACTGAGTACATACGAAACATGCTTGTCTGGTAACATCAGTCTGAAACTCACTTTTCTTTTTGTCTGAGTACACCTTCATTAACCATTGTCCATTATTATGTTTATTGGTCAGACAGTCCTTGAAGCACATTGGTCAGAAAAAAAATTAAGATCTTCATTTGGTTTTAACTTCATTCATTTGGGGTTTAATTTCATAACCTTGCAGACCAATGAATATTCAGACCCATTTTTAAATGTACCAAACTAAAAATTGTCAGTTTTTCGTCATTTTTCCAACATTCAGATCAAAGGATTGTTAGACTAATAAACAATGAAACCAGTATAAAAACTCATTTAAAACATATAAAAAAGCTTTACTGGACAATTGTAATCATCATAAGTCAGTAATTATAATGGGTGAAGCAAAGGCCATTTATGAATGAAGATATTGCATTTTGACATCATCTTTCATCAGATTTTATTTAAAACATATTGATATTAATATACTTATATTAATATTAAGATTTATTTTCTTACCTGGCAAAAGGTTGTGGACAGACAGGTAAACATTATACCAGCCCAGAAGCTGATTAGACCAAGTCGGACAGTGGCCATCGTCAAAGTCAGTCTAAATATAAAATCATATTGAATAATTACCATCAGTTTATAATATGTAACTAAGCAATAAATACATAAATAAATAAAGTTTATTTTGAATTCACAAAGATGGTAAGGATTAAACTCCACAAATAAACAAAAAAGATCTGATGAAAAACAAATTAGACCTCAAAAAGGTCTTAGACTAGAGAGGAGGCTTTTAGCCTGGTAAAATCTAACAAATTCTTTTTTTACAAAATGTAAGTCAGAGAAGAATTTCATCAGCTGTGTCATGCTATAAAAATTAAGTAATTTTTTCTTCAATCAACAGCTTAATATTGGAGTAAATACTGAAGGTAAACTATTTCAATAATAAGCTGTTCAATGAAGAAAAAATTACCTTACTCTTTTTTTACAAAAGATTTCAACAAGCGTAATATGAACAATTGTGCATTACTATTACTGGGGATATATATGGCTAGATTGTTATTACATACTAGTAATTTTGTGGTAAGCAGCATCAATCTACTTCATCACTGATAATCAAATTGTACCAAAGTACATACCGTAAACAAAACAAACATGAATATCAAGCCAATTCATTTTGATAAATGCAAATTCAAGGGGATAAAAAATTAATGAATATTTAAAGATTCATGAACAAATAAACAAAGGAGGAGCACAAAGAAAAAACTCATTGTTCATCAACTGTTTTATGCAGCTGGATCACATTTAACAAGAAGTGCTATTCCAAATGTGTTAACCACAAATAGGAGATTTTGAATTACTAATTGGATCTGCACCTCTGACCAAAATCAGGTATGAATAATACGACTCTATGAAAATCAATATGCATGAACAGACAAAAAGACAAATGCCCAAGTTTTATGGATAGTCAAATTTAACCAACATTTCAATTTTCAGCTTTTGTTAATTTTAATTATTTATAATTGCTTTCATTAAATTTCAGGGTGGATGTCAGTATTAAATCTATTTACATACAGCAATGCTACTAAAACGAACAACATCTGAACTGTCATAGTGGAAATGGATAATATTTTTCCTTTTCCCTCCGAGAAAAAGAGCAATCACAGGAAACATGACATTCAATTAATTAGATCAAGTTTCTCTCCATTCAAAACAGAGCTTATATAATTATCAGACCTCTGACACACCTGCCGTCCCTAATTTTCGTATGCAAATGTACATCCTCATTAGTCTGTACCTACTGTCAACTAATTAACACCAAGTTGGTATATAACCAAAATGGGAGAAACCTTTCCAGAAGTTTCAAATCCTTAGTGACAGGGAGCAGCTTTCCCAAAAATATTCAGAAGACTTGACATACAAGGCACACAGTCAATTTTGAAAAGTCTGGTAAGTTAACATTTCATTATTCATTTCTTTCTTTTATCTTTTCTGCCTTTTTTTTTCTTTATTTCTCATTGAAGTTGAGTTACTTCATAAATTTTTTTAAATACATTTTTATTTTCAGGATTTTCTCAATTCAGTTAAAAAAATTTGATAGGTTAAGATTTAACTGATTTTTATTATTACTTCAATTCCTCTTAAAAATGCAAGACACCAACCAAAAAGGATTAGAAAAGGAATTTTTTAATTAAAATTAACCTCTTTTTATTAAAAAAAAACTTTTGAAATTTCTCTTCTAAATTCTCTTGCTTCAGTTAAAATTTTTTCATAATTTAGGATTTAATCCATCTATTAATTTCCCAAAAAGTGAAAAATAAAATCAAGCAAAGAGGAGTAGATAAAGCAAGTATTTTCACAAAAAAAAAAAAAAAAAAATAGAAAAAAAAAACAAATTAAATTTTTGAAATTTTCTTAACTTAGTTTTAATTTTAACTTGCCTTGGGGCTTTCAAATAAATTCAAACCTTATATATATTATGAAATGTTCCATAGTTAATTTCAGCCTTACATAGCAAAACTTTTCTTTAAAAATATTCTTATAGCAAACATCAAAATTTCATCTTCTTCAGATAAAATTATCAATACATTTAACCATGTATACTATTGCTACATTCAGTTTGACAAAAAAAAAAAAAAAAACATTTTTACCATAAATGCATTAGTTTAATTAATCTTAATTAAATGAATCTGAATTTCCAACATTTTTGTGAACTTCTGTCTTTCAATCTCTCCTAGACTTGAATATCCAATTTCAATGACCAATTGGAATTAAAACTAAACAACCCTTTAACTCTTATAAAATATGACAACCCAAGAGATATGTTTATATCATCCCTTGATTCCAACTTTTGTTTACACACATTAAAAGAAAAATAACTCCAAGAAGACTTCTTACTGAATGCTAACCAAACAGTACAGTTCAAAACAGAAAACACTTCTTAAGTATTGAAAACTTCTTTCTGACATTAAGTTATCACTTATCCAAACATTATGCACAGTACTTTCTTTCTTCTCTTTTTTTTCAAAAAAAAAAAAGAAACTCCAGCTGAATAAGTTTTACCAGCAGCATTTTTGTGAAGGGTGATTTTTTTTCTGAACTGTCATCTAACCATTTCCCCCATTGCTCTCCGTTTTTTTTTAAATCATTTCATTAAGTGAAGCTCTAAATTTCCTCCTGAAAAATTTCAACTCGTAACCATAAAATGTTATAAGGTGACCTTTGATATTCTGATGATATCCAGGCCCTATATAAGTGATGGAAAATGATGAAAATCTCAGTCTTATTGGATTTTCATCCAGATGATACTTAGACAATGGAATGAGCAGAGGACGGGTAAAATTTTTCAAAAGGAGACCATTTCAGCAAACTAAGGATGCAGTTGAACTGATTAAATGGATAGCAGGGCTGGTGCTTTACTAAGATAGGGAGTCCTTTTTTTTCAAAAAAAAAAGTATAAAAAATTAATGAGATAAGAAATTGTTTACATTTCAGCAGTTACATTGAATCAGCTATGGGATTTTCCATACTAAAAATTTGATGTCAAAAGATGTCAATTTCTTTTATTTTGTTTCAAGAGAAAAACTTCAGGAAGAATTTTCAAGAAATACTGGTATCTATAAACTTCGGGTACCATTTGTGATATTATGAACATAAAGGACCAACCTGTGCAGCTCCAGTATCACGTGAATGTTTTATTCAAGCAAATAGCTGAATGGTGGAGTGTTCTCAGCGAAGTCACTCTTTAGTGAGGTTTTGTTACATGTTACATTGATACAAAATATTCAGTGAACATCTAACAAAAGTCATTTTTGAGTGAAGAGACAGCATCAGAAGAGAACAATGGGGAAACCAGCAAAAGCTATCAAATTAAATCTATGCTTATGCTTTTGATGACCGATATCCAAATTAAGAATTAATCATAAGCATTTTAGCACAAAGGAAGCAGACTATTGGGATGTGTAAAATACCATAATTGCATCAGCCAGCAACTCCAGCTACGTTTTTAAAAACTGAGTTTCCAAGGCCTGGGTTTGTAGTGTGGTCTTGTTTCATAAAAGCTTCATGACCACAATGCAATTTCCAACGTCTTGGGAATCATACACTGCTACACAGGACTAGATAAGTGAAATCATTAAAACAAGATGCTAGATCAGATATCAATTTCAATAAAAGGTCAATAGCCATGGGCTTTTAATATTATAGTCTGGTTAAATATAGGTTCAATTATATTCTATTTTGGCTAATTTCTTAATTTTTACTTCATACACAAAAAGCATATTATTATTTATGATCACTGGTACATGTAGGGCTATAATTATGGACTCTAAAATTTTGCGTTTCCGTCTACTTAATTTAAAACTCATTAGTAAAAGTTTACGGCATGCGTTAATTAATAATGTGTTTAACACACGCACATACACAAACACACGCGCACACACACACACTCAGTTCAGATTTAATAATCTGACTTACGGTCCCTGTGGTGTTTAGCTTGAGTTAGTTACCCTAGCAGCCGTCATTTTGTAGCACTAAGTTGGTTTTTAAACTTAATTTAAAACTCGTTAGTAAAAGTTTATGGCATGCGTTAATTAATAATGCGTTTTACACATGCACATACACAAACACACGCGCACACACATACTCAGTTCAGATTTAATAATCTGACTTACGGTCCCTGTGGTGTTTAGCTTGAGTTAGTTACCCTAGCAGCCGTCATTTTGTAGCAATAAGTTGGTTTTAAAACAAAAGTTTGCAAACAGTTTTTATTATGTCAGCTGGGGCAGTAAAAAAAAAAAAATGATATTATATCTCCTTGGGTTGTGACTTTTTTTTTCTCTCAAGAACTGTCACTTTAATCAATATCCATGGGGTATAAATTGAAGCCACAGACTTAGTCATCCTTAGCTCTAATATTTCCATTCATCAGCAGACAGTTCTGCTTAAAACTCTTTCCTTCCTCTCAAATTTTGATAAATGTCACAACATTAATACTTCTCATCATCTAATATATTAAGTATTTATCAATGCATATCAGCTTACTAGTTTCTTTATACTTCATTTTATGTTAAATTATAATAAATTATTTATCTACTTACCATTTTTAATTCAATTTCATTTTATGATCACTTTCATTCAATTTCTATTTTGCAATTAATTGTCAACTTCCCAATTTTTCCCCCTACAAACAAAGATATTTAACATTGCACTTCATGTTTAAAGCCTGGCACTTGAAAAGTATTTATTAATTTATTATACAAAGAATTGTCCATGCTGGATGCAATATCATTCAGAAAATGGAAATTTATCAATTAAATACAATCATAAAAAATCCATGCAATTGCTTTCAGGGCATCATATGACAAAAAATTGATATGATTGAAAAATAATAAAAACCAAATATCAAATTCAGGATGTCGAGTGTTTTTTTTTTTTTTTTTTAATATCATGGACAACAAAAAACTGAATTTGTCTTGATTGTCAGTGAATTCTTGAATTTTATTTTTAAAATATAAAACCGATTCTTATCAATAATGATACTGTCAAAGTTGTGTTATAATATTATTATAGCTGGTGTATTTTTAAGACAAAATTTCCTTCTTATCCATTTCAGGCATGAACCAGGAATTGTCCAATCTTAAAGACAGAAGAGACAAGAAAATGATAGGCATGACTACAATGGTGTAACCTAGATGTCACAGTTGGTATATAACAAACTGGGCAGCTTTTGCACTAAAATAGCCTTGCCTCTTCACAGCCAGGAAGGCAAAATGATTTCATTTACAGATACCATAACCTGGTCAGGAGAGCACATTGCTACTTAGAGTCACAAATATTCAAATAAAGCACAAAACGCATTAGGGTTACTTCCAGTTACCTAAACCAAAACAACCCCTTACATAACGCAATACTTTGCATAACACAATATAATGCACAAACAGGAAAGCAAGACACCACAAAATTTGGCAAGTTAAAAAATCTCAGCCTGCTTTTTGTTAAATAAAGCCGACTAGTATATTTCAGGTTAAAAAACGATAAAAAAAAAAAAAAAAAAAAAAAAAAAACATTAAGTTTGGTAGATATTGGTAAACATCACAGGACCACAAACAGAAAAATTCAATAACCTAGTACATAGCTTGAAATTATGAAATTGTGCTGGTTTGCAGCCTAACCTTTTTTGGTCAAACAGAGTGCCATAGTAAATCTAAGGTGGAACAAAAAAAAGTTTAGCAGATGTGTCAGACAACTGGCAACAGTAATGACATGTAAAAACATAGTCAGGTAATCAGAATTTAAACAGACACTTAATGTCTGCATATATGAAATAATACTAAAGAAACATATCAATTCTGGACATCCTTGCTATACATCAAATAGTGCCATTTTTTCAACAAACGATTTTTATACATTAGATATTTTTTGAAAAAAGTTAGAAATGAAAATATTTGTCTTTAAGAAGAATTCTTAGCTCTGCAGCTGGGGTTTGAAAATAAGAATTGAAAAGTTCATCTTTGTTTTGATTAGAGACAGAATATCAATTTCACTGCAACTGACATTATTTTGAACTGATATAAGAGGGTTAAAAATACACACTAGTACACAAATATTTATAACTTGTATAAAGGTGGCTGTAACAAACTAAACACAATCTTAATTCTTATTATAAGAATAAGGACGAGCTAATGTGTTGAAGTTAAATTTGAAATAATGTGACTGTGATAAACTAAGGTTCAATCTCACATTTGATCGTGATTTAAAGGTCTGATTGGGAGGTTTACAAATCTTATTGTGTTTAGTTATAACCACCTTTTATACAACAGACATGCTGAAACTGTCGGTCCGATCGGTCATGACCGGCAAAATTTGTCTGGACCGGTAAAAAATTGGACTAAGTGGGTCCAAAGGATTTTGAATTCACAGCCGTCATTTGACATACTTCACTAATAAAATTATATAAGACCCAAAGCGTTTTTCCCTTCCATTTCAAACCTATCACATTCACAAACAAAGTAAGCTACCCTAATAACATTGGTAGTGTCTGTATCAAACGAATAGGGTGATTTTTTGTCCGACAAAAATCCATTCGGGCCGGCAAATTTTTCATTACTGCCAGTCCAAATGTCTGACCATTCTGGATAGTTTTCAGCATGTCTGAAACAACCACCTTTATCTAGTAATAACCTTAAAGATAGTCTGTCCCTATAAGTAACTCATTAAAATATATATCCACATCATGAAAATACTAGAGTCAACACTCATGATGGTTTACAGGGGGGGGGTTTATCTAATTGTTACTGTCCGTGTAATCTTTTTACTTGTGTACAGCGCAGTCCCTTGTACTACATATTGCAGTAAAGCAAGCTGAACTCCATAAACCTTAATCTCTTGTTTACCCCTGAAGAAATCAAAATGTGCAGAAAATGTTTGGAAATGACTAGAAATTATTACTTAATTAATTTTTTGGCTCTAGAAAACGCTGTTGTCCATGATGATTCAAAATCAAATAATATATTTGCTGTTAAGGAATACTTTATATTGATAGCTATATTGGTTGCTAAAAAATTGCAAAAATGAAATTTTTACCCCCAAAAAAAGGCTTCTACCTCAATTAGGACTAGCAGATTTTGAAACAGGGGTTACAGCTAGAAACTAAAGTCTATTAATAATATACCACGGTATTCCAAAAGTCACTTGTACCAGCCTACCAGGTGACAGCTGTTTTGTGCTAACCTGTCACAGCATCCATCCTTTGGACCCATTCTGAATGGAGGCTCCAGAAATTCATTACATGCCACTGAGCCAAATGCATGGCTAGTTGTAACAACTATATCGTGCCAAAAAAAAACATGCTAGTTTTCCTGGAAGCGGTTTCAATTGCAATCACAATATCTCTTGTGTCAGCTTCCTCTTGGACATATTTTCAGTCTTCTGAAATTTAGTTTTTGACTATGGATAGCAGCCACAATATGAATACAGGTGGGATATTAGACCTACAAAGCCTCCAGCAATGACTTGAAGCTGCTTAGCACTTTGAAGCCCATTTTCCTGTGGTCCTACAATCTGTAAGCCATATTCATACAGGACAACTACTAGTAGTTAAATTTATTCTGTTTGTTGCTGGTACTAGTATACATATTATTGCTTTAGTAGAGGAAGATAAAGGTTTCATATCTTGACTTTCCAAGTATCTTAGTATGATGCCAGATCCCAACCCTTGTGTTAAGTAAATAAATGTTACATCCGTTGAAAACTTGATTGATTTACACCTAACTGTAAGAAGCCAGTAATGATGGGATTTTGTTTTTGTGACAATTTGCTAAACACCTCTGATTGTTAAGTCTGAAAAAGGCCCATGGCATTATATATCACAGAACCTGGGATGTTTGAGAGTCTAGCAGCAGCAAAAACTACTGATAGAAGTAACTACTTATAGAACTACTTAACTACTTATAGAAGTATGCTCACAATTAAAAAAATGTAAAGGTTCTATACAAAAGCAAATTCTCTTTAACTAATATCGTAATTAAATGATGACCTCACTGTAAGTTGAAAAAAATTAGGTGACTTATAATATATTGTAATATATTGTAATATTGTTGGGTTAATTAAATTTCAGGGGTGCAAATCACAGAGAATTTAACTAGTAAGTCACTGCAAAACTCTGTAAGACTTCTAAATCAATTTCTGAAATAACAGTCCATATACTATCGTGAGCATGAAGTGCATCACAAATTACCACAAAGCCCTCATCCCTAGGCCTTATAGTGCCCAAGTCTGCTTACATAATGATTCGATATTCTGATACCTGAATTCCCTGGGCAGTGGAGCGTAGTGCTTTGACAAAATGCTCTGTGTTGGAAGGAGAAACATCCCCTAGATCAACATGCCGGCACTGCAGACGCCGTGGTACTGGCTTCACTTTCCAGTCAGCCTGGCGAATGCTAGCAGAATCTGGGTGGAAATCGGGAAGAGCTCCTGTTTGATCGAGTTGCACTTTTCTAATGAGTCTTCTTTGGTGCAACTAAAGAACCAACAAATAACGGAACATGACACAAAAATTGAGAATGAAACTTTCAACATGGAGATTGCACAAGGAATATATTTGCAATTTACAAATTATTTACTGTAGTAGAGTGATATACAAACCATTAAACTGAACTTGACAGCTGTTAGGTCCTTGCAAATGTTTTTGTCAACCCTTTGTAATTTATTTTTGCTTATCGACATGACTGTCCATTTCAATATATTCTGTTACTGTGTCTCTGCAAACTCATCCACTCATCATGAAAATATATTTGAAATATGTTTTTTGTGTGTGTGTGTGATTTTACCTGGTGCACATCTCTGTCAAATGTTCTACATAGGTCAGCAAGAAAAATCACTGCCTCTGGAGTCAGCAGAGTCCTGAAGTGCTCCTCATAGCCCATAGGTGGTGCTTCAACTTCGACATCTTTTACCCCAAGCTAAAATGTAAAAGCATCAAAAAAGCTTAATTTAAACATGTATCTATGAAATGAAATGCTATATAACTTTTATTTACGAATAGAAATATTTACTTTATCAGAGACATTACATTGGAGTTTTTTTTTTTTTTTATTATTTCTGATGTCTGACTTCTTATTGAATATCACATGTCTTAAATGCTTGTAATATCTCTTTTGTGAAATAACATTTCACTCCCATGTGTAGGAAAGAAACTGACCTTTCACTCACTCTCAGAATAAAACAACTTAAAAGTGCATATTCAACATAACAATTATTTCTCCTGTTTGGAACTTGATGTAGTCATAAGCCAAGTGAAGAAAAGAGTAGGCATAAATCACATACACGTATACATTTGTGAAGATGAGAGATAAGTGATGGAGATCTTTTCACACAGAGATGAGTGAACGATTAATTTTTACTAGTACTGAGGTACCTTGGCGGTATTGATAAATGATCATCTTTCAGACTAAAGCACAACAGTAAATCTTTTTTTTTATGTAAAAAGAAGGCAGTTTTAGTATCTGATCAACTGGGTTAATCCAAGAGCAAACAGGTTAGGGCTAATCTGGGCCCCATATCCCAAAAACATTGCGCACTGCGACCATGGCAAGCGTCTCGATTCCACAACTCGCCTATACTCTCCCCACATAATACATTGTAGCCTCTATGTGATATCGCTATTCACAATACGCGATGCTTTCCTGACACTGGGCCCTGCTCTCCATTGGCAGCAAAAAGCCTTTGCCTTACAAAAGTGTGGGTCATGTTAACATCAGACAAATAAGCTGAGCTCTGTCACACCTCCAATCAATTCCAAGACTATTTTGGCCATAAATTCCTCTAATTTCTTAATTCCCTCTATCCCAAAATTACTCTATATGTTATAATACTGTACATGTGTTCAGCCAAAACAAACATGAATGATGCCAAAAAAATGTAACTACATGTTCAGCTTAGCTGTTTAACTTATACCATATGACTAATGTATGCAGTTCCCAGCTACTGGCACTGTAAAGTCACAGTATGGAATTACGTGACCGAAGTGATCAGCAACTCAGTATTAAATAAATAACGAGTTGTCCTTGCTGGAATGCTGGTCTTGACATTATGCATACAGTGAATACATACTCGTTCTAGTTCCTTCATCAGATTCTTCCGATCATCAACATTTGTATTTGCTGCTCCTTTAAGTGCAATCTTGCTACTTCTAAAATTACTAAGAGCAGGAGAAAGAAAATGTGACTTATAAACTTCCAACCTGTTCATTTTGTTTTTATGTGCTGCAGTTATGTACCTCCTGACACAAAAGAAAAGGACAGGCTACATGTCACAGTCGGATTGAATGTGGCTCTCTTGGATCACGCTCGGCCGTCACCTTGAGATCAAAAGAAATCTTTATACTAACATATTAGTCAACCATATCAAAAAGAAAAAAAAAATTAAAGCCTGCCTTTTAAAAGTATTTTTAAACGAATTTCATGAAAAGAAATAAAAATTTATAAAAAAAAAAAAATTTAAAAATAAAATAAATAAATAAATAAATAAATAAATAAATCACAAAAATTGACATATTTTCGCCTTTCTGATTTTGGCATTGAAAGTGGGATATTAATGCATTTTCAGGTAATAGAAAAAATAAGCAATAGGCCAATTTTGTTACTTTTTAGTCTAACACATCTTTTGCGATATTGATATTGATGGCCAGTAAAAGAATGACGAATCCCGTAGGGCTAAAGATGCAAGAACACACCAAGACATTTCTCTCAAGTTAATTTTCCCATCTTTCTTTTATTTGATTTTGAAAATTAAAACAGTCATATGTTACTGAAAAAAAAAAAAAAAAAAAAAACACTAGCAATTTGTAAGTGAATGTCTTGTCAATTATTATATGATATAATTTTAAGTTTTCTTTTTCAACAACTTATCAACACTTAAATCTAATTTTTACACATGATTTGGAACTGTTTAAATTGATATACTGGTATCTGGTATGTAACACCAGCCAGAAATGTTTCAGTGATTTAAGTCCAAGTTATTGTTGAGCATTGTTGGTGCAGAAAGATATGCAAATACTGTTAACACTGTCATAACAAAATCTGTTAACCATAATAACATTATGACGTGCACTGTCTAAGTGAACAAGTATATACCAAAGATATATTAAAAAAAAAAAAAAAAAGAACCAGACACAATAATAACTGCAATGGAAATGAACTACAGAGATTAAATTATAATATTAAGCAATTTTTATCAATATTAATCTTTAATAATGAATACGATGTGTGAAGTAATCAAACACAACTACAGTAATTAATCACAGTTATCAAAGACAAGTATCAAGTCCATAAAATTTTTAGTGCCAATAACACTAACAGTCTATTGTACAAGTAGAATCTATATCAAGGGGAGGCACTTCTATTACGAAAAAAAAAAATGCAATACAATGAATGGAAACAATTACTTGTTTTAAGGGTACGTTTACAGAAATGAAGCCAAAACAGAGGTAGAGCTTAAGTACAGTTATAAGAACCCTCCACAAATAGGTCAAATTTAATAACTTGTCTGTGTAAAAGAAAGATTACATTGATTGCCCTCACTTATTGTATTAGTTCTTAATGTATTTTCTCAAAATCCAAACAGTCACATCTTTAAGAATCTATAAGAAAACAATCCTTCAGTTAGAGTGTACTTCAAATGTTTAGCACCGCTTATAAAAGCATGATAAAACTTCATGCATCTAAACGACACAGAAAAAATTAGAGAATTAAATAACAATACATGCAGCAGTTGAGAGAAATAACAAACACAATTTCTCTTTATAATGTATCAACTTTACTACATGACATGTACTACTGTAAGGATCTGTTATGTACCCATAAATAATTGATATACAGGTCTAACCATTTTTTAGATTCTGTAGAATCAAGTGAGTTTTTGCTTATCCATAATAGGAATCTACTCTGACTGTCATATATATTATGCACTTGAAGATGAACAACTGTCCAATCAAATGTCTAATAGACAAATCTTGACCCTGAGAGATCTATTCCACCAAACCCACCTCCTCCCCCACCCCCACCACCCCCTGGACCACAACTCCCAGGGGGTCCCCCCTTGTCATCAAAATCACTCCACCGATTCCAACTGCGTGCTGGGGACGTACTTAGGCTTCTACGAACTGCTTGACTCCGAGCTTCTAATTCCTGCTCCTTAAAATGACATAAAATAATTTTTTATATATATATGTATTAAAATATAATCATAAAACATATTACATATTCAAAACCTTAGTTCAAAATGTCATAGTCAACAACAGAGGGAAATTAATATCATATCAACAAGAATAGTTTAATGAACTAATATTTTCAGCTAGATGGACCAAAGTTTGGGTAAATTACTGACCTGCAAGTACTTAGCATTATCCTGTATCACAGCATCTCTGAGATCTTTCCTGAGAGGGGGGTCTACCACAGCTGGGTTGATGCTATCATCTAGGTTCAGAATGCTGTCATCAGAAGATATTTTCTTGTAGATTAGGACATAGGCTGTGTCACGGGAAAATCTTTTTGTCACATTACTGTAAAAAGAAAAATACATTGAGGCAAAAAGCAAAAGCAGGTTCTATCTGAAATAGCGGAAATGATGGAGAATAATTAGTTCAAAATACATGGGAGGTTATCAAAAAAAAAAAAAAGAAAAAAAAAAGAAATGTTTTTATAACTAATGATAAGAAAGCAGGGTTTGTCTTACAATAATATTTTTGTAAAACAACTGCAAAATGCAAAATAAAAATAAAAGTTGGCATAGTCTTGGTTTTTTTTATAACTGACATACAAATGCTTTCAAGATAAAACCATTGACTTGAACTGTCACTGGTACATGTTTGTCAGTGTGTTAGAAAAATATATCAAATTAACAAAGCACTTAACACGGTTCTTCCGCTCTAAGCTACCCCTCATTGAACCTATACTAGTATAATATTTGTCTCAGCTGAAAAAAAATGTTTGGGCGAATCATTCAATTTATACAAAAAGATTGTTTACTTTGAAAAATATTTTTTGAAAATTTTCTTACTAATTTTTCTATGAAATTTATTCAACAAATTAGCACAAAACAGCATTAAGCTCCTAACCTGAAGGAGTCAAAAGAAGCATAAGTTACTCTGCTGTCATTGAACAAGAACCACTTGTCCTGCAAGTAGTCCTGGTCATCACACCTATTCCCGGTCTCCTGGTCAGTCTCCTGGTCAGTCTCCATTCTGTCCACCAGGCAAGTGACTGGTAGGGAGTGACGGGCATAGCAGTAGTAGTGGCCACATTCACTCGATGCACCTGAGTGTATAACTACTCCACAGAGTGCATAAGTGGCCAGAGCAGTCGAATCGTCAAAACCCGAATCTGTTGTCGTCTGCTGTGCAAATGCATGCTGGGGCTTATCAAGTACAGCATAATCGTGGGTTTGTTGATCAAACTTGAGCGGGGATTGCACTGGATCATCGGTGGTAAATTTCACTTTCAGTTCATCTCTGTGAACAGGTAACATTAAAGTCTTAGGATAGCTCACCTCATTGAAAAGTTTTGAGCGCGACTGAGTCTTGATGTTGTAAGAGAATCTTAACAAAGTCAGAATTAGAAAGTTTGGGGAGTGAACAATTTTAATAGACCTTTCCCCATCTTGCAGACCCTGGCACTTGTCACAATAGTACTTATTATCACCTTCCAGCTTTTCTGGCTCAAGATAATAGTCCAGCAGATTTTCCAATGTCAAAGAGTCATTTCCGCCATCCTTGTTATCAAGACCTGCAGAGCTTCTACTTAATGTATCTAAACCTTCCAATTTTGATTCTTTGACTTGAGCTGCATCCATTTTTGTCTCCCCTGTTTCATGCTCTACTTTCCCCACTGTGTTCCCCTCCTGTTCCATTTCAACATTCTTTTCAGCTGGAGTCGATTTACCTCCTACAAGGGAGGAGCCATGGCTTGATATCTTATTTCCATCAGGAAAAGCTAACGGCAAATCAAAGAAGGACTCTGTTCTTGCCGACTCATGTCCACATGTTAAACACCTACAGGTGGTCATCACTTTCCCACCAAAAGTTTGTCCAACCAGTGTTGGATCCACATCGTCTTTAGTTTCGATGACAATCTCTCTCTGATGCTGCTGCCCTCTAGTAGATTGTTCCTGTTGAGCAGAGCGCAGTTTTGATTTGTAGAAGTTTGGTTCCACACTGTGTTCTGGTGAGGACATGGGGCTGGGGAGTTTAACAGGGGATGTGGGATTCCGTTTTCTGCGTAGAGCGGTGAGTTCTTGTTCATGAAGCTGGTCTAGTAAATAATGGAGGAATTCAGCACAGTCCTGTTGATGTCCAGGTATAAACCATGGGGGCCTGGATACCTTCAAGAAGGAGGTCGGAGAAAAGGCAGCTCTCTACATAAATAAAAAGATGACAGTTTTTCCTTTTAATTGCATATATATATATATATATATATATCTCAATGATTTTTTTAATATGTTAATCTACATAGACTGAGATCAAAAATAGACTCATCTAACTATCACATTTCAAGCATTACTATATGATCGTGGCCACCAATATTTAGGAGATTTACACTTAAATTTTTCTTCTAACCATAATAAATACAGCCTTTACATAAAACCTTCTAATCCAAAATTTAATTTTAAATATACAAACATGTAACCATAATTTGAGATCTTTTCATACCTGAGAATGGCCCAGGAAAGCTGCTAAATACTGCATTTTGACCAATAGAGGGCAGTGTGGATCTGCTGGGGAACTCAACAAAGCTTGACGGAACCTTAAAATAACAATTTACCTTGCCTCAAATACTGAAGTCAAACAAGACATAACAAAACTATACTCTAAATCTAAAATCTTACTGCAATGTACTGAAACAATACAAGATGATATATGAATAAAAAAAAGCAATTATATGAAAAACATACTTCTCCTACGGAGGTGAACTGAAGGTGTTAGTACTATTATGATGACTTAATTCAATAAAATAATGACTTTAAGAATATGCATGATTGACAATTGAATTTAAAATTAACAGATTACTTAACTAACCAGTCACAACATCAATACGTAACTTTACAAAATAAATAAATAAGAAGAACCTATCATATATCTGATAATTATAAAATAATCTTGCCACATACCCATCACACATATAAAGTGCCTGTATCACACTGTTCATATAACATGTGTTCCCCAGGTTGACCAATCCAACTTTCCCAGTCTCTGACTTCCTGGTTATCTTGGACAGAACTCCAGTGGTGGATTCCTGTTGAACCCCCCATCTGTACTCTGACAGTCTCTGCCTTATCACATCTGAGGAGGGTCTGGGAAAATCCTTAAATGAAAGAGAAAAATGAAGTACATATGTTGAAAATAAAATATATAATGCTTGATAAGAAGACTTCATTAAAAAGTAGTAATATATCATAAAACGAGTTTGCACGTTAAGTTTCATCTTTGAGTTTTTACATAACAATTCCCTCAACACCATCACTGCATCATTGAAAGCAGGCACTGGCTCATACAACACCAACATGAAGGATAAATTGCTGAAAATTACAACCTAAAGTATGAAGTTTTAGACTAAAAGTCTCAATACAAAAGAGTATTGTGAGACACACAAAAAATGTGAAAAAAAATGTCATATTCAGATCATTTTTGACATAACTAAGAGGGAATTTGAAAAATATCATTCTTTATGATTCTTCAGTTGCTTTCTTCTTACATATTTGGTATCATTTCCAAACAAATAAGCACCTCACCCTGTATGTTCAAATATTCAATTCAAAATGATCTGAAAAAACAATTCCTGTAATATGTGAATACTTATTATTGCTCACCTTAATGGCTTCCAGCACAGGATCATACAACTCAGGAAAGCCTGCATGCAGATACATGAGGCAGTGCAACATATGTGAAAGTTGCTCTAGGCAGTTTTTACTGCTAGGTGAGTTCTCTGCTCCCAGGTGGGCTATCACAGTAGGCACATCGTTGACTATCTGGAATTTAAGGAATATGCCTCAAAATACATGCAATCCAACCTGTGTTCATAAAACTAATTTAATCTGCACAATCCTAATCAAATCCAGAGCTCGGCATACAAACAATACGTTTACTGGCCTGGCAAAAGTAGTTTCTAGTTTCTGGTCTTTATTCTCACCTTGTGAAATGCATCTGGCGAATGTTGGTATCCTAGCAACAGGCTGTAAAGCACCCTGATCACACCCTGACGTGCAAAACGAAACTGCAGCAACCTGAACACCTTTGAAAATTATAAAGATAATATTTACTTTAAGTTAACTGTACTTAAGTTTATATGACTAAACATGGAATGCAAAACTAATGAATAATACTTTAAGAAAAAATAAGATCCAACTCACACAGAGATGGTTGCAATAAAGACGAAATAAGAGGAGAACAGACAGTACACACGGGTCTGTCAAAGCACTTGCCAGAGCAGAATTTATGCACTGACATATGCGGGTTGATGAGTGTGAGAAGGAAGAACTTACTAGTAATTGTTACCATTAGGTAACCCAAGGTTATCCCGTTCATATCCAGATACACTTAGAACTGGTGGATCATAAACGAAAAAAAGGAATCGCAATCAAGTACCTACTTTTAAATGTAGGAACTAATCTAAAACCATTTTGCTAACACTTTTCAGAACATGCCTTCTAGATTCCATAAACTTACCATGTCAATGTTCTCCTCTGTGATCTTAATCAATATAGTATACTTGTGGACACTTGCCAGGCCCTGTAAAAATGACCCCAACCACTCGTCCACCCCATCTGACTTTGGCCACCTAAGCCAGTCCAGCATCCTGGTCAGTGCTATGGTCATCATGGTGTCATTTATCCTAGGATCAGTGACCACACTCTTGACCACTGTCTTCCTCATGTCTTTTGGTATGTGCTCTACCAGGGAAGCCAGGCAGAACGGGGGACCAAAGACCTCATCTGTACAGGAGATAAGCCTGAAGACTGTCTGTAGGCAGCGGACTATGGTATCTGTGTCACTATTGTCCCAGATATGTTTTAAGAGAGAAGCAACCTCTTCAACGTGATGAACAAATTCTGGTAATTTCTGCAGTTCACCAGCGCCATCTGGTGGTTGTAACATGCCCAAAGCTGTGATAAGGGTCTCGCAGAAGGGTCTACTAGCTTCACCTTGAGGTATACAGTTTCTGAACTCCAGTAAAAATTTGGCAAACTTTCCAACCACCTCTGCATCTGGGTGTTCCCTCACAAAGCTTGCCCCTTTGACTGCTATGATTTGACTAAGGTGCATGAAACTAGGGCTTGCCTGAAGTATTCTCATGCTCTCATGAATGAGGTCCACTAATGCACCACTATTCTGATACTGTCCAGACAACAAAGAAAGTAACACCTCCTTGGTGAAGAAACTCTCAAATGTTGCTCTGTTATGTCTGGCCCATGATATGTATATCTTAAGACCTTCTTCGTATTCCACTTGTGTTTTTCCATCAATCACACAATGCATGGATATATTCAATACTTCTGATATAGACCCTACTTGCTGAACTAATTTGCCTTTCTCTGCTATCATGTTGAATAAGGCCCTCTTCAGAGGTTCTGGTTTGTCGGAGGCAAGCACACCTCTTAATATCTGTTCCATTGTGATTTCCTAGAAGTAACAAGAAAAAGTAAAAATTGAAGTACTTCTTCCAAGTTATAAGAAATTGAGAAATACTGAATAAATTAACAGTCTTTATTCAGTCTTCTTCCAAGTTATAAGGAATTGAGAAATACTGAATGAATTAACAGTCTTTATTTAACAGGAGGGGGGCCGTTCCCCCCCCCCCCCCCCCCCCCCCCCACTCACCAGCCCGTTATATAAATCTGTTAATTCATACATACAGGATAAACCAACAGAATTTGGAAATTTCATGTCAAGTTCACATGAAAGCTTCTATCATAACGTTTAAATGTTTTTAGTGAACTCATTAAAGGTAACCGAAATCTTATTTTCGCACATCGATAAGTGACTCGATCACTGACTCGAACCAAATCGTAGCTTTCTATCACAAAAACGGGGTATCTTAGACTTTTTACAATACGATCAGAACAAAAGGAGAATTCTTCAATTCCAAACAATTATATCGGCTGACACTTGAAGGATTTGTTCGACCGACCAGCGTGACATCAGGAGATTTTACTTTTTTTCGGAAAGCCTACAGGCTACATTCAGATCAATGTAATGCAGTTCAACCCAACGCTACCATCATCCTGGTAAACCGCAAGATGATTTTATTAGAAATTTTATTATTAGAAATTTGGCTTGAGTGGGTAATTTTGATGTTTTTACTACTCACCGAAGATGTACCTAATAGCAAGTGCACACAGAAAAGCAAACTAAATATTATCAGTGCAACAGGGCGCGTCACAAGGAGGCGGCCATGCTGGGTCTATCTAAAATTAGACTTACATTTTATAGTAAAGGGACGTACGGTTAAAAAAGTTCAGGTTTATTTAAATCAAGTAATCAAGTAATTTTAATTATTTAAAAATAACATCCAATCGACGCAAATCTCTTGACAGTGGTGATTATTATTATCATTATTATTATTACTCTGTCCCAACCCACGTTTGTTTTATTTCTTTGCTTTTTTTTTTTGTTGTTGTTTTTAACCTTCATCGTCCTCACTGCACCCATAACTACTAATGTGTGATTATTAAGTCTTGGCGTAAAAACTATCAAAACACGCTAGCGCTTTCCAAATGGGTGTGACGTAAGTACCTGCTGACGAAATACACATTTCATTTGGAGGAAAAGCTGGGTCGAATTTTCTACGCGCGTAAGACCTTACTTAAAACTCAATCGTAAACAAGCCAACGTGCGGAAATCTACCTTGGTTTTACAAAAAATTGTAACTGAGACCATGCAGGAATCAAGACAATGACGATCATAAATACATGTTGCTGTTGTAATCTACGAATCGGCGCATTTGCCTGTGGAATCTATACTGCTGTAAGTGAATATTTTAGTAAAATGTTTCGCTCACGTGTTAATGAACTGAACGTGATATCATGCACAGTTGTGTTTATCTTGGCTTTGGAAGAATTGTGATGATTTGGACACTAGTGATTCAGAATAATTTTGATATATTTCATTGCTCAAGGCATCACCATTAACCTGTTGAAAGGGAAACAGACTTTATACTTAAACCAGGGTTAGTTATTTTATGCTGTTATTTCTGTGATTGAATGTTATTGTTAAAAAATGCACATTAAACGAGTGCTAATAAGTCAAATTACTGCCGCAAAACCCGACCAAATGTCACCATATAGTTTCATATAGCATTACATTAAAATTTCCACAGAGTTTTATTACATTATTTTCTGAAAAGTGATATTTGCACTGCTATTTGTAGCCTCCCTTCTGAAAAACTATCACTGCAATATGAGCACTTAAAATACTAGTATATCATCAAAAATATACCGTAATATAGTCATCCTTCCTCTCAAAGTTGGGTTTTGACCTCCAAATGATTATTTTTTGTGCCTTTTGAAGATGATATTGAATGGTATTTCACTTTATGTGACAGTTGTCAGTAGAATACACGCCTGTCTCCTACTCATGTACTGTAGTATACTCGAGATCATATGGGTCATTGCTCAGCAACCTACATTTAGCTGTCCCTGCACTTGCATAAAGATTCAGTGTTTTATTTAATTTATTTAGTGTGCAGCATTTATGTTTTGGTAGCAGATGTTTCTTGTTTGAAATTTTAGCATAACATGTACTAAGACACCTCAAGTGTTTTGTATCTTTTAGAAAACTTTTGAATAGCCAGGATTTTTACCTTTTAGCTGACTGCTATAGTAGTTCTATTATCTGTAAATGTTGCCTTTATTTATTTCACTCATTCCTGTATTGTTTTAGATCTTATCCTTGGTTACTAGTGGTCTGTCAGGATACAATTTGTACCATATACAGTTCTTTGACCTTACTCGAGTTGAAGATGAAACTGAGAAGCAAATGTGGGAAGGTAACTCTCTCTCTCTCTCTCTCTCTCTCTCTCTCTCTCTCTCTCAGTTTTACTTACACACACACACACACACACACACACACACATTTGCAGTAATGACTGAAAAAAATCATATTATTATATTATTAATTTTGCTTCTTTGGTCTACTGGTACATTATGATTCTTTATGTTTGATTTATAGATTCTATATTAATTTTTGTTTGATTTGGGTCACCTTAAAGTTAATTTCCTTTCCTTAGGTATTGAGGCTTGGTGTTATGCCACATTAGCATTGTGTTCCCTAACATTTTTGGCTTCCTTACTTCATATTGTTGGAGTGCATAAGGTAAGGATAATTGTACGTGCTCACATAAAAATCAGTATCATATTAATTTGAAAAGAAAAGTGAGAGATAAACTATTTTATTTTCTATTTAGAAATATATAAATTTACTAACAAGGTCTTAAGTAGTTATTGATAAAATTTAACTATTTTGTAGACATTGACTCCTTTTCAAATGTTTTAAGATGTAGGACTTGTTTAAAAACATTGACTTCCTTTGATTAAAAAGTGACTAACTTGTTCAGTCTGTAGAACTTTCTGAGATGCTAATGATATTCCTCAATATATATTTATTTCAGGATCAGAGATTTTTATTCCTTCCATGGATGTGTATGATGGTCCTTGTTATAGTGGTGGATGCCATCTCAGTTGTTTATGGTATCTTTACCTATGTAAGTTTATCATTATTTGTGTAAAAAAAAAAAACTTATTTTTGTCTAGTCTGACGTTTTTAAGCCTTTTGACCTCAAGAGAGAGTAAAGCCTTTTATTTATTTTTTTTTTATTTCCAAAGCGTCATTACAAAGAAAATTATTATTTATTTATTACAAAATTATTTATAATTTTGTATTTATTTTGTATTTATTTGCAGGATAATGTTGAAGTTACGTTCTCCATTATCCATTCTATCCTGTGGCTCATATTTACCCTGATCAGTGTAAGTGATATTTCTATCTATACATCACTAGTAGAAATATGGATAATGATGACAGGTTAAATTTAATATAATTTTATATCTTTTTAAGAAACATAGTGCAATTACCTGTGTGTTTGAAAATTTTAATGCATCTTTGTTATGCAGTTGTAGCATGAAAAACATTTTGAGATCTTTCCACTTTTTCTTTCTTTCATTAATTGTTCAGTGGAAGGGATTTAAATAATGTCTAATCTTTTTTACTCATCTAACTTCAGATATGGAATGAACTGATAAAACAATGGGACATACCAAAGTTACCATATGCCCATTCTGTTTCACACATTCTTCTTATTTCCTGTTGTTGTTTTCAGATGTACTGTCTGTTGTGTGTAATCTCCCAGTACCAGGAGTTGGCAGCAGGAAGAGGAACTGCAGCAGATTACAGGCATCCAGTAAGGAAGAGATGATGATTTTCAGTGTGTGTGTGTGTGTGTGTGTGTGTGTGTGTGTGTGTGTGTGTGTTATTTCTGTCCAAGTGAATGAAAAACAATGTTTTACCCAAGTTTAGATCATTTGTAGACCTTCAGTTTGTTATGAAGATTTCAGACTAAATACATTTCTTAATGTTCTTAACTGGCATTTGCAGTCTTCTTAAAGCTATATCTTTACATGCCATGGTTTGGTTAATAGCTAGTGATAGAGACAACATTGCCATGTCATTGAGTGTCTTTCCAAATGTTTTTTTCCTTTTATACTCTTTTTTTTTCCAAAAGCGACATTTTGATATTTTGTTTTTCTCTGATTGCTGTGTAATGTTGTTTTCAGGCTGTCATCTATGAGTCCTCTATCAATGAGGTGATGATTGCTCCAGGCCCAGTTATTATTTATCCACATCACGGGGCATACAGTGCAGTTCCCACTCAGCCTGGAGAGGAACCACCCCACTACCAAGATGAGGATGAAGAAAAGGAAGGGACATGTAAGCCACATTCACATTTAAGTTCCAAAATAAATTTTGTCATTTACCGAGATAGTGCACTGAGAAATGCTGTGCAGCAGAATATGATATGAAATATTTAATACAAAGTATTTTTGTCATCATTAAATTAAAAAGTCTGAATTCAAAAAGATGGTGGCTTTGGAGAATGTGTACCAATAGGCATAGAAAATGACTTTATGTCATTTTCAAATGTAGATAGACCAGTATACTTTTTGATTATTATAAACAAGCAGAAAAGATGCAAGTGCACAATCAAACAATGGCCTATAATTATGACTATATCCAAAGGTGATTTAGTAATTTAGTTGGCTGCTGCTCTGAAATTTGGACAAGTAGCAAATCATATTCAATAAAACGGGGCAACAATCGTGATAACTAAATTTAAATGGAAAGAATGCTCCTCATATTTATCAGTCTAAAAAAACATTTGCTGACTATTGTTATTTTATTTTTTCAGCATCAGCAGAAGCCTTGTTGAATGATGACAACTTCCCTTCATCACAAGAACATCTGGTGGCACAATCAAAAAAGAAGTCAAGGAGATAAATTACCTTATCTACTGTGAGATTTTGTATGCTCTTTTAGCAAAAACATGTTCTTTTCCAAAAATGAAAATAAGGTTATGCTTACAGAAACTGAGTTGGATTTAAGAGTAAACTTTTGAGTGAAAAATGTTTTTTATTGATGGGTTTTTCCCTGAACTGTTTACTGATCATCTGGAATTCCATGAGCAGTAATACAAGAAATACAATATAATACCAAAAATCTTGAGGGTGTAGCTTTAACCAGTGTCATAAAAGTGCAGAATCCACAGTTACCTTTGTACATGTAATAGAAATAGAAATTTCATGAGGAGGGTTGATATTTTAGATAAAATGAAAGAAAGTTGCGTATTAGAGAGTATATTATTTTGTGTAAGTGTAAGGTGTATTTGCACATTTGCTATTAGCTTTAGGATGCATGGTTTGTTTTCTATACATATTTCATTTTGTTTTTTATATGATAGCATAATTGTATTAAGCATAGCAGGATGTTGGAATTATTTATAATGCCTTATATTTATAATATAAATTCATGGGTAATAATTAGAAGGTTGAATCTCTTGAGGTGAAGTTGTTTTGCACCTGCAATTTGATGATTTTTTCTTTCTTCTTTTTTTTTTGGGGGGGGGGGGGGTGGAGTCACCATTTTTAAAAGAACACCAGTTAACTTTTTTTCTTTTTTAAGAATAAAATGTCACTTCACAGAATGGTTATTTGTACCCAGTGCTAGTCAATTCAAAAACTTTCAGATGCATTTCACAATTATACTAGTGTGCATTTCTGGCTCTATACATACGACACACAGATGTACATTTTATAGTTAGTATATGGTATAAGGTCATAATCCCTAGATATTCGTATGGGCATGAAATTTCATTTTATTATTTATTGTGATTATAAATATTTAAGTACTTAGAAAATCAGTTAAGATCATACCAAAATTATGTTGTTTTAAGACTCCAAGATTATAATGTACGTTTTCTCAAGCCAAGTACATTATATACACTCTGAATTGTCACTACTATTTTGGTAAAAAAAATTTACTTTTTTACATTCAAATCAAAACGCTTTAATTCATTTTTTTAAATATCTAAAGAGCATTACAAAGATATGTGAGTGTAAGATTTGAAGATAAAGGTCCCTGGTCTACTTTTTTTCTATTTGAGCTAATTTGAGAATGTTTCATATACATGTCACATCATCATTATACCAAACTGTAACACAAATATAATGGTATTGCTATATCTACAACAAACTTTTACCTGTTCCATTGACAAACTGCTTTACAGTTTATTAATTGATATGATTGCTTCAGGTTATTATTATTATTATTATTATTATTATTATTATTATTATTATTATACAGGATATTTATACAGGGCATTGAATGTATTAAATTGATAAAGAATTTATAACAGTGACATACATATATATATATATATATAAGAAAAGTTCCCATTTACCATGCCGGCACCTAGAGGTGGGGGTCCCCCTCTGATGCATCCTCATATGCAATAATATATTAACATAAGATATAGGTTAGAACACCCTCTTCTAAAAACACATACATATTTTTTAACATTTGAAAATTCCTGCCATTTTTAGGACATTGTTTCTCTAAAATAACAGATTGAAAATAGAGTCGATAATTTATAATTTGGTATAAATGTTATAAAATGGTGCCACAGTTCCGATTATCTTGCTATGGTGAAATCCTACTCCAAATATTGGACATAGTATTATTATAAAATGAACATAGCTTTGGACATAATAATTAAAAATGTTATATTTTTCTTGTTATGTTGAGTTCCACACAGTTTGCATATTCTTAATATTAAAAAAGTATATAAAATTTTTATTCTTTTTTCCTCTGTCAAAATCATTGATAATTTTTAACATGTTGAAGCTGAAAAACGTCATCATCCTATCTGAAATGTTTATTTCAGCCAGATATGCAAAAGGAAAATAGGAAGTTACCTCAGGCTCAAGTTATGTAACAGAAATGTGACCAAATATTATCAGTTCTTAATTCTCATAATTAATCTGTCATTATAAGGTTGATATTTTGTGTGGAATGTCTAATATTATTTCATTAATTAGCACAATTTGAGCATTCTTGTTTTGTTTCATGTGTTTAAGCTGATCTTATTACTGGTATTTTATCACTGAAACTGCTGACAAATTAAAGTCTATGCACATTCAGTAATGACTATATTTGTTCCCATTTGATAATTTCAGTGCTGTATAAATACCTTTTCATACGCTTGCACGGTTTCAATAAATATGTTGAGATCACTCGGTCTTCATATAGATCTACCAACTTATACTGAGACTTTAGTAATTTACGTTATAAATATTGCAATTTCCATATATGTCAATAAAAGTAAATTCAAGAAAATTTTATTTGTTTTTTCAATCAGGGAATTCCCTGGTTCAATTCATTGCTACGATAGATGTGACCTGGAAAACTGAGGCGCAACTGTAGCAATCGGCAGGCTAGCAACGATCACTGCATTGACCGGGGCACGTCTTGCTAAAAAATAAACAAACGTTTTACATGGAGACATTACCAAACAAAATGGCGTCCGAGAAGGAAGCGGTAAGTGCGTCGCAAAGCCACTATGTCGGCTTTAAAATATCATTCTGCATGTTAAAATGTTGCTAGTCAGCCTGAAATATTTACATCAGTTTGCATTATGTGCTGCAAAAATTCTTCAGTTGACGTTTAATCTGATAAAGCTAAAAGCTACCGTCAGTTTGCTGTGGCTGTGCTACTAACATTGACGTCTAATCCTTAACTCCGAAAATCACTGCCTCGATATACAGAAAAAAAACGTTGGACTGAGGCTAATTGTCAGCACATACACCTGCTTACCATGTAGAGATAAATGTGGACCGTGGAATTGCATGTTTGCTTTTCTTGCTTTGCTTCATTGGGCATGGTTTCAGGTGAAGACAGAGGAAGTTGTATTGAAAGCCGACAAAGGGGTATGTGGATATACACGATACACATGCAATATTAGGCCACCCAAAATAACATGTCTTTGATTTTCAATGTTTTCCTGTATTTGATTATGTGGTGACTATTTGGTCAGTGTATCTGCTATTGAAATTACTGCTGGTTAGTTGTTTGAAAATTTGCTTACAGTACTACAAAAGCCTTCCAAGACTGGATTTTCACGCCAAAAACTCACATTATATTTAACCAATTTTCCCCCCTTTAAGCCTAACAAAAAGTCAGTGAATAGATTGCAAAGCTATTTTGGATAGCAGGACACTGATCAAGTCACTATGCACAAAAATGAAATTTGGAAAACCATAAAAAAATCTAAGACTACGTAAGGCCACATTCACAACAGCAGACTAACAGATATGGCAAGACACTTAAAAACTTGCTGCATAATTCACTAATAGATACTGAATAGAAAACCCCCCACAGGGATTATGCGACAAGCATTTAAGTGGGTCAGACATATTTGATACAGGGATCTGTTAGTCCGCTGTTGTGAATGTAGCCTTATGTATAAAGGTTTAGGGGGCATACTGATTAGACCAGATATAAATACTCTCCTACAACGACCTGGATTAGATTTAGATTGTGATATGTAGTGTACTCTTAGTATGCTTCATAGTTACTGTATGTAGAAATTTGTAAAAAAAAAAAAAAATGAAAAATTAACCACACCCAAGTATATACAGGTTCTCCAACAATACCTATAGAAATGGGCAAAATTCTGGAAAATGACTTCCCACCTTTTTTCGCCATCAGAGAAAAGTCAGATTTCCTCAAATTGGGAGGAAAATGGAGGAATTTTGTTCGGTCACAATTTCTGGTATGTGTTCATACCAAACAGCAATAGTTCATTTTTTAGGACCTACAAAAGCTGTTTCAAATTGTTAGTATTCAATATTTTTAAACAAAGCAATAGTCCAAAATTATACATTTGCACCTCAGCCTACCAAGAAAACTTGTACACTGTATTAACCCACACTATATTAACATTTTAATTTTATTAAAGTAGAGTAATATATAGATATACTAATTTTTAATGATATTAAATTATATGTTGCTGATTCTAAGTGAAATACTTCTTTGCTGAACCTGAGTGAAATAAGTTACTAGTATCTATTTCTCAACTCGCAGATAACAGTGTATGAGCAAGTGTGCATATATGCCAACCATGTGCTTGGAGACAGAAGCTGAGCATTAAGGAACCCAATTAAAATATATAAGATATTTTATGTTGTTAATTGCAATAAGACAAATTGCTAGTAGAGAAATCTCATGTGGTCCTTTAAACATGGTTCCTGAAAGTCAAATAGGAGGACAAATTGTGTCTGTGTTTAGGCTTATTGCAGTGCCTAAATAATTCAGGAATTTCCAAAGTTATTTCAAGTCCATAAGAAAATGGCAAAATTTTTGCTCTCTCTCTCTCTTTTTTTTTTTTTAACTGCTTTGGCTAAGCTAATTAAATCATTTGAATCTGTTTTACAACATTGTAATATATTACCCTTTAGCAGTATCAGTTTAACCCTAAAATCTTAAAATAATAATCACTTTTACTGACACAAACCTTTTGACTATTTGTATGGGCAATTTTAGGAGGCTTCTCTTGCTACTGTATCAGGTCAGATTCAGGTAAGAGAAGATGAGTGACTTAATAGTTTTATGATTTTTTTTCTGATTTTTATGATGTGTGAAGTAAAGGAGGGTCAAAATTATATCAGATTGCCAAAATATATAAAAGAAAAAAAATACTATAAAGAATTTAAGACAAAATAAACATGATATAGAAGGAGAAAGAAGAAAAATGACTGAAAAATTGTTTAAACAATTTATGCTTTTGTTAAGAGTTTTTTTTTTTTTTTCTAAATTCAAGAATGATGCAGTAATCATTTTTAAAGATGTTTCAACAAATATGCATGTATTACATACAAGATTACATAATTTTTGACTCTTCTTAGCCTAGCTAGGTTTGTCATTTTTAGAAAACATCAAACTTTATGTTTTCCAATATACAGTCTTGCTATACCTGCAGGTCCATGTTGTCACAAGTACAGTTTATTGATCCTGTCATTTCAGTTTGTTTGCAATTATAGCAAAATACCAGTCATATAAGATACTAGTAGATTTTTTGCCTTTAAATTATTTAAATGTGGTTTTGATCACCTGCAGTTTTATCCAGTGCATTTAAAGTGTTGTGTGTTTATTCTGAGTTCTGTCTAATTTTTAAATATTAAGAAGTTGCTTTGACTGGAGTAACAATGTTTGTTTTTTTTTGTTCACTTTTTCTTGAGTGTTTTCTTTTTCTGTTATTTTGCACTCTCAGTGTTGTCCATTTAATTCATTTATTTTATTGTAACATTATTCTTGATACAGTGTTTTTGGTGTGCATAGCATTATTCTAAGTGCAGTTTAATGTAGGTCAAGGTGCACCAATTACATGATGGTATGGTAGTAATGGGTTCATTACCTACTGAAAGGATTAAATGTAGTTTTGTCTAGGTGACCGTAGTAAAACTTTCAAACTTGTTTCAAAATCTGTGAGGTCTCACTCTAGATTCAATCTACATGGTGGTGAAGTTAGCCCTTTGAGTCAGAGTCACCTGTTTGTAATATAATTGAGATGAGTCTGATGACAAGTTAATAAAATATTCTGAATGCAGGTGACATTTTTACATAAAAGCATTGTATCAGATTTATTTGCATGGCATGGAAAACATTCTCTAAGTGGTCGCACGAAAAAGAGGAGAATTTAGACCTTAGAAAATGCTCCAACGCAAATTAGGGTTCAACAATAACTTGAATCTGAACATTGAGACAAAATGTGATAAGAATAAAATTTAAAAGTAAAAAAAAAAAGATAAAATTTCAAGAGATGTAATATCCCAGTGTATCTTTTGTTTGATTAAAAAGAAATTTATGTCAAGGCTAAGTTGACCACACCCACTGATTGTTTGGTCAAAGTGCTCTCTTTCTGTGATATATTGTGTTGAAGCTATATGACAGGTTTAAAGATATAACTTGAAAACACATGTGTTTGAATAATGGTCTAAGATATATGAATGCCTTTCGTTTGTGACCTGCTTAATATCTTCGTATGTCAGCTGGGTAGCTGGTTGATTGCCCTTTCTATACATCTATATTTACCTGCACAATATACAAAATACATATACGGTCTATAATATCTGTATTATTGATGCACACATGGGTCCATTTCTATAGTCTCTTTCACCTTCAGCAGTAAAGTGATTACTCAGACCATTAATGCAATGTTTAAGCAGTCAGCCCCATTGATTGGTATTTAAATCTCCTTGGACACAGTGCACATTCTTACTGGTCACACCTTTGTACACACTTTGGCTTAAGATCTACTCGGATTAACTCAGTCTGGGCTGTTTACATGTATATTAGTAACAGCAGCAACAAGTTCCATTAAATACTGCCTTATGCTGTGCATCTGTCAACTGTATTGATCATATATGCATACAGAATCATGGCCTGTACACATTTATCTACATTAAAAAGACATTCGGCCATAATTATCACTGTGGTTTTTTCTTCCTCTGTTCTGAATTTTCACATTAAATATATTGTCTCGGGAGGGTGGGGGTTTGAAAGAACTGCCTTTTTTGCCAGGAAAAGGTCCACCCTGGGTAAAATTTGAGCATACTAGTACTCGGTACATGGTTTCATGGCATGAGGTCCACTTTTTCAGAAAAAGACTCCTCTCCCCCCCTTTTAAAATTGTTGGTTAAGAGCCTGCACGTGCATACACACACACACACAAACACACACACACACACACACACACACACAAGCACATTTCCTCCCAATACAAGCATGCAGTTACTAGTGCACGGATGTGTCTACGTTGCATACTAGCACACAGATCTTCATGTGGTACGTATACATGGAAATCATTTAGCAATACAAAATCTACAGAGGTGAAATATTGATCAGCCCCCTATTATGAATGGCTGATATGCACTGATTTTGTCTTTGATGTTATACTGTGTGATATGACGCAGGTGCTTGGTTGTTTAAAGCAGAGGAGATGTGATAAGCAGCTGATGGATTAATAATCAAACATGCTGCCATGATGAGGAGAAAATTGCATTGTATATCACATATCTAATGCTGTGGCTTTTTTAGTGATTAGATAAGGGATATTGAGGTAAATGTTGACCTGGTTCCTTCTGTGACTCTGTTTTGTGATAACTAGTTCATTACTGTGGCGTCACACAAAGATCATAATCTGGAGCTGTTATGATGAAATCTTGACTATTAAAAGAAAAATATTTCCACAACTTTGTGTTAAATGACCATAACAATACTATTATGTCTGATTCATAGTTCACATTTCTGTCATTTATTATAAGTAATATTTTTCTCTCTTTCTGATTAGATTAGGCATATGTAAGGAAAGGAGTCTTAATACTGGGTACAGTAGTTTGGCATTTGAAAGAATACAGCTTCAGAAAAATTTACTGAATATGAACTTCTAAATTTCTTCTGTAATCCTGTAAGGTATTTTGTCAGCATGAGGTATTATAGGTTAAGTCCTTACTTAGCTACCGGTACCAAGAAGACAATAGCTCAGTGTCAGGTGACAACATTTAGTATGATTGAGTAAGCAGAATCTGAGAGGGATCACACACACACACACAATCACACTTGTAGGTGTATACACTTTTCTTATGAATTAGACTAATGTTCACTTGAAGAAAGATGACAACTTTCAACTGTTAACTGTTAAATTGCTGTTGATAGGAGGCAGAAAGGACAGTTGAGTCCCCACCACCTCCATACAACTATGGCTCTGGAGCTGCAGCCCCACCCTCATATGTGGAACAAGGAGACACAATGGGTAATGTCACCATGTACACGGTGTGAAATGTAGTGTTTATGTGTATACAAGATCAAGTTATGAACAAAAGAGAGAGAGAGAATAGGAGTAGAAAGTGGTACATAGAAAAGAATTTTTTAAAAAATTCCTTCAGCACCATATGCATAATGAATATGAGANTACGACAAGCATTTAAGTGGGTCAGACATATTTGATACAGGGATCTGTTAGTCCGCTGTTGTGAATGTAGCCTTATGTATAAAGGTTTAGGGGGCATACTGCTTATAAGTACTGATTAGACCAGATATAAATACTCCCCTACAACGACCTCGATTAGATTTAGATTATGATATGTAATAGTAGTGTACTCTTAGTATGCTTCAGAAGTACTGTATGTAGAAATTTGTAAAAAAAAGAATATGAAAAATGAACCACACCCAAGTATATACAGGTTCTCCAACAATACCTAGAAATGGGCAAAATTCTGGAAAATGACTCCCCCCCCCTTTTTTTTTCCCATCAGAGAAAGATCAGATTTCCTCAAATCGGGGGAAAATTGGAGAATTTTGTTCGGTCACAATTTCTGGGGTATGTTCATACCAAACAGCAATATTTCATTTTTTTAGGACCTACAAAAGCTGTTTCAAATTGTTAACTAACACTAGTGTTCAATATTTTTAAAGCACGCAATAGTCCAAAATTATACATTTGCACCTCAGCCTACCAAGAAAACTTGTACACTATATTAACCCACACTATATTAACATTTTAATATTATTAAAGTAGAGTAATATATAGATATACTAATTTTTAATAATATTTTCTATGTTGCTGATTCTAAGTGAAATACTTCTTTGCTGAACCTGAGTGAAATTAGTCACTAGTATCTCTTTTTCAACTCGCAGATGACTGTGTATGAGCAAGTGTGCATATATGCCAATCATGCTTAGAGACAGAATCTGAGTGTTAAAGAACCCAATTAAAATATATAAGATATTTAATGTTATTAAATGTTGTTAATTGCGATAAGACAAATTGCTAGTAGAGAAATCCTATGTGGTCCTTTAAACATGGTTCCTGAAAGTGAAATAAGAGGACAAATTGTGTCTGTCTTTAGGCTTATTGCAGTGCCTAAATTATTCAGGAATTTCCAAAGTTATTTCAAGTCCATAAGAAAATGGCAATTTTTTTTCTCTTTTTAACTGCTTTTGGCTAAGCTAATTAAATCATTTGAATCTGTTTTAAAACATCCTAATAAATTAACCTTTGGCAGCATCAGTTTAACCTTAAAATCTATAAAAAATAATCATGGTATTTACTGACATAAACCTCTTGATTATTTATTATATGGGCAATTTTAGGAGGCTTCTCTTGCTACTGTATCAGGTCAGATTCAGGTAAGAGAAGATGAGTGACTTAATAGTTTTATGATTTTGTTCTGATTTTTATGATGTGTGAATTAAAGGAGGGTCAAAATTATATCAGATTGCCAAAATATAGAAAAAAAGAAAAAAAAATAGTAAAAAAAAAAGAGAAAATAAACATGATATAGAAGGAGAAAGAAGAAAAAATGACTGAAAAATAATTGTTTAAACAATTATGCTTTTGTTGAGTGATTTTTCTTCTAAATTCAAAAATGACATCTACAGTAATCAATTTTAAAGATATTTGAACAAATACGCATGTATTACATGAAAGATTACTAGTACATAATTTTTGACTCTTCTTGGGTTTGTCGTTTTTAGAAAACATCAAACTTTATGTTTAACAATATATATACAATCCTGCTATAGCTGCAGGTCCATGTTGTCACAAGTACAGTTTATTGGTCCTGTCATTTCAGTTTGTTAGCAATGATAGCAAAATACCAGCCATGTATATATAAGATAGATTTTTTGCCTTTAAAATATTTAAATATGTGGTTTTGATCACCTGCAGTTTTATCCAGTGCAGTGAAAATGTTGTGCGTTTATTCTGAGTTCTGTCTAATTTTTAGATATTTAGATGTTGCTTTGACTGGAGTAACAGTGTTTGCTTTTTTTGTTCACTTTTTCTTGAGTGTTTTCTTTTTCTGTTATTTTGCACTCTCAGTGTTGTCCGTCTAATTCATTTGATTTATTGTAAAATTATTCTTGATACAGTGTTTTTGGTGTGCATAGCATTATTCAAAGTGTAGTTTAATGTAGGTGCACTAGTAATTACATGATGGTATGGTAGTAATGGATTCATTACATACTGAAAGGATTACCTATTTGTAATATAATTGAGATGAGTCTGATGACAGGTTAATGAAATATTCTGAATGCAGGTGACATTTTTACATAAAAGCATTGTATCAGATCTATTTGCATGGCATGGAAAAGCATTCTCTAAAGAGGAGAATTTAGACCATAGAAAATGCTCCAACACAAATTAGGCTTCAACAATAACATGAATGTGAACATTGAGACAAAATGTGATAAGAATAATAATTAAAAGTAAAAAAAAAAAGATAAAATTTCAAGTGATGTAATATCCCAGTGACATGTGTATCTTCTGTTTGACTAAAAAAAAATGTCATTCATGGCTGACTCAGATTAAATGAAAGTCTGTTTTGTAAAAGCATTAAAAACCATTCCCTTTACCTGTAGTTGACATCCTGACCAATACTCAGAGGCCACATTCAGAACAATGGACTAACTAGTCTGCCCCCCCCCCCCCTCCACACACACACACACACACACACTAAAAAGCTTGTTGTCAAATTTGCTAATGGACACTGAATAGATTCTCTGTGGGGAAGTATTCTAGTGGGTCGGTCATATTTGACTGGCGGACTTCTAGTTAGTCCACTTATCTGAATGCGGCCAGAGTCAGTGTGTGTTAAGCCCAGTGCCATGGCGAAGTTGACCACACCCACATATTGTTTGGTCAAAGTGCTCTCTCTCTGTGGTACATGATATGGAGGCTGTATGAAACGTTTTAAGATATAACTTGTGTTTGAATATATGAATGCCTTTGTGACCTGTTTTATATCTTTATATATGTCCCGTATGAAGAGTTAGCTGGTTGATTGTCACTTTCTATACATCTATATTTACCTGCACAATATACTAAATACATATAAGGTTTATAATATTTGCGTTATTGATGCACACATGGGTCCATTTCTACAGTCTCTTTCACCGTCAGCAGTAAAGGGATTGCTCAGACCATTAATGCAATTGTTTAAGCAGTCAACCCCATTGATTGGTATTTAAATCTCCTTGGACACAGTGCACATTCTTACTGGTCACACCTTTGTACACACTTTGGCTTATGTAAGATCTACTCAGCTTAACTCAGTCTGGACTGTTTACATGTATATTAGTAACAGCAGCAACAAGTTCCATTAAATATTGCCTTTTGCTGTGCATCAGTCAACTGTATTGATCATATATGCATACAGAATCATGGCCTGTACACATTTATCTACATTAAAAAGACATTCGGCCATGATTATCATTATGTTTTTTCTTCCTCTGTTCAGGATGCATTCTTCATGGTCCATTATTGAATTCTCACATTGAATATATATTGTCTCAGGAGGGGGGAGGGGGGGGGGGGTTGAAAGAACTGCCTTTTTTGCCAGGAAAAGGTCCACCCTGGGTAAAATTTGAGCATACTAGTACTCGGTACACGGTTTCATGGCATGAGGTCCACTTTTTCAGAAAAAGACTCCTCTCCCCCCCCTTTTAAAATTGTTGGTTAAGAGCCTGCATGTGCATACACACACACACACACACACATTTCCTCCCAAATACAAGCATGCAGTTACTAGTGCACAGATGTGTCTACGTTGCATACTAGCACACAGATCTTCATGTGGTATGTATACATGGAAATCATTTAGCAATATAAAATCTACAGAGGTGAAATATTGATCAGTCCTCTATTATGAATGGCTGATATGCACAGATTTTGTCTTTGATGTTATACTGTGTGATATGAAGCAGGTGCTTGGTTGTTTAAAGCAGAGGAGATGTGATAAGCAGCTGATGGATTAATAATCAAACATGCTGCCATGATGAGGAGAAAATTGCATTGTATATCACATATCTAATGCTGTGGCTTTTTTAGTGATTAGATAAGGGATATTTGAGGGAAATGCTGACCTGGGACCTTCTGTGACTCTGTTTTGTGATAACTAGTTCATTACTGTGGCGTCACACAAAGATCATAATCTGGAGATGTTATGATGAAATCTTGACTATTAAAAGAAAAATATTTCCACAACTTTGTGTTAAATGACCATTACAATACTATTATGTCTGATTCATAGTTCACATTTCTGTCATTTATCATAAGTAATATTTTTCTCTCTTTCTGATTAGATTAGGCATATGTAAGGAAAGGAGTCTTAATACTGGGTACAGTAGTTTGGCATTTGAAAGAATACAGCTTCAGAAAAATTTACTGAATATGAACTTCTAAATTTCCTTTGTAATCCTGTAAGGTATTTTGTCAGCATGAGGTATTATAGGTTAAGTCCTTACTTAGCTACCGATACCAAGAAGACAATAGCTCAGTGTCAGGTGACAACATTTAGTATGATTGAGTAAGCAGAATCTGAGAGGGATCACACACACACACACACACACACACACACACACACACACACTTGTACGTGTATACACTTCTTATGAATTAGACTAATGTTCAGTTGAAGAAGATAAGATGACAACTTTCAACTGTTAACTGTTAAATTGCTGTTGATAGGAGGCAGAAAGGACAGTTGAGTCCCCACCACCTCCATACAACTATGGCTCTGGAGCTGCAGCCCCACCCTCATATGTGGAACAAGGAGACACAATGGGTAATGTCACCATGTACACAGTGTGAAATGTAGTGTTTATGTGTATACAAGATCAAGTTATGAACAAAAGAGAGAGAGAGAATAGGAGTAGAAAGTGGTACATAGAAAAGAATTTTTAAAAAAATTCCTTCAGCACCATATGCATAATGAATATGAGATCTTTTTTTTTTTTTTTATTGGTAATTAAAATATTTCAGATTTTGATAAAATTTTCATTTCAATATGAAAATATTCCCACTCAAATTTGAGCTTGTTGTAAGCATACAACTTCATGCTAATCACGTATATGAAAGTCTGTCAGCTTTATATTGAATACATAATATTCATGATATTGCTTTGGCTTTCATTTCAGCTCCTCCTCCTTCATATGATTCTCTTTATGGTAGGGTCAAGTCATTAAAACAGGAGTCTTCAGGATTTGTGGACTTCTTCAAAAAATTCATTGTCATTCTTTTAGGAACAAGTAAGTTGTTAGATTTCTGTGATTTAGTCTTAATGTGAACATAAATAACAGGTTTGAGATATCAATATAGAATTTTATTTTTTGAGTCCATATAGAGATTTAACAACATACATTTAGACTGGTACGACTGTGACACTTCAAAAGAAAATTGATGGTGAATGTGATGAATCAGAATGACTTCACTGTGTTTTTAATCTCTGAAATGTAGAAATTGTCTGGTCTGATACAAATGTCACTTACTGTACATTTATTTGATAAAAAATCATTTAAGAGCTGTTTTCATCTACAGAATGTGTAATGTCCCTATAGAAAGTTTTCTTTAGTAAGAAAGAAACTAAGTTTTTCAGTTATTGCACATGACAGTGATGACATTGTGTAATAATAATAATAATAATAATAATAACAGTAAAATGCGTATATTGTTGTATTTTAGTTGGCTGCACCATCTGTATAGGTCTGATTCTTGCTATTCCTATATCAATGATAGCCATGGGTAAGTCCTTTTGTCCATACAAGATAAATGGGTTAATAGATATATTTTGTTACAAAATTTTAAAGTTGTACATGTTTCATAGATGATATAAGAGAGAATTTCTAATTTGATTATTTTGATATTTAAATTATCTTGTTTTCCCCCCTTCTTTCAGAACTTTGGCCTATTGTGAGATTGCTAATATAAAAGTACTAAAATATGTAAAGATTCGTTCAGTCTTTTTTCTGCTGCACGTGGTGTTTATTACATTAAAATCTTATACTCATACCTAAATTCATTTGGTATTATCATGAACTCTAATTTTTATTTTCTCTGAGCATTAACAAAGTTGTCTTCCCCCCCCCCCCCCCCCCAATTAATCTAATAATTTGGTATAAATATAAAAAGAATGAGTTTTTTTTCTCATTCTTTATTATCATTCAACTTCTAGGATCAGTATACTTGTACCAGTGCCCCATACAAAGGTTCATCCCTATTTATCTCATAGTGGGAGGAGTGTTTGGTATCATTAAAAATCTCAGCAGCTTTGGACAACGTGCACGCAATCAAAAGGAGGACAAAACCGATGAGAATGCCAAGACAAACCCATTTGATGGCTTGCTTGGCTGTTTTCTTTGTGCCTGGTTCATAGCAGGTAAAGCCCCCTTTACACTGGATGGCGTCCTTTCTGCGTCCAGCAGTACGGCCCCATTTGAGAGTTAAAAAATTATAATACTTTACGTGCCGACAACTGGCCGATCATTGAGCATTCATTCTGATACAAAATCAATGCTCGTGCCTCCTTATTAAGTCCACAGCAATGCCAAATTTCATGGTCGCAGAAAGGACGCCGTCCAGTGTCAAGGGGGTATAAGTGACACTTGTTGATAAAAATGACTCTTTTTATATGTTCAGGTTATTTTGAGTTGAAAGTAGTGTAAGAATACCACACCAACTTATTTAGTAGCCAGTTGGAATGTTTCATTGAGCTCAGTTAGCATATGAAATCTGGTATATGTAATGCGACAGGTGAGGGACATTTTTTTAACATGATGCAATTGACATAACAATACAATGTCCCATGAAATTAGAACATGATTGCCAAAACTAAGGTTTTTGGCAATTTGTATTCCTTTGGGTTCTTTCTTCTCATGAGACAAGGTTCGACAAATGTGACTTGAGAAATGTATATGGTATACATGAAATGACATTGCTTTGTAAAGTCTAACCACTTTGATTGAAGGTGGCAAGAAGGGGAGGGGGGGGATGGAACAGAAACATAAAAAAGAGGATATTCCCTCAGCATAAAGTTAAATCTGAACCACTCTCACCAGCTGCCCCAGACTCTACAATTATAGCATTTAAAATTCATACATGTTCTTTACTAACAAAACAACAATGCTCTGTATCACTGTTTTCCAGGCAATTATTGGATCTACAGTGTGCATAGGACTTGGTCACCAAATGAGATGATCCCTGGCCCTGTCAACACTACTGTGACACCAGTCCCCACAGCTGCCATGGTTGCCAATCCCAACTACTGTCAACCCACTCTGTATCTGTACGCATTCTGGCTCACCACGTCCTCGTACATCCTGGTCGGGTGCATCTGCTTCTTCATGTGCTGCTGCGGCATTATTGCTGCTTGCTGTGGTGGCAAGGATTAATTTGTATTGGTGAGTATAAACTGTGTGTGTGTACTGCAGGGAAGTAGTGTTTCTGTTCGCTTTGAATTCTCACAATTTGATAATCTTTTTTTGATTTGATTTGGTAAAGATAATAAGCAGATGAAAATCAACGTGTTTTTGTTTTCAACAGATGTTTGTTTCTTGTTTTTATTATGATAGATTAATATTGATCTTTCAATTACAAATTAATATCATTGACTTATAAGATGCCTTAAAATGTTCTATATTTTAATATTTCAGAATAGGACTTGTCACGTAGACTTATCAAGACATTATGGTGTGGGGTTGCTGTTGTCTAGAATTAGAATTGTTTTGGGCTGAAGTCCATTTATATATATATATTTTTTCTCATGAGATCTGAATAATGTAAACAACATAGAAGTCAGGGCTAATAATGATGAATTCTTATATGCATATTCATTAATGTCTCTCAGTCCAATGATGAGTGAACTTATAAAGGTTGGAAGACTAAAATTTTGTATCAGTAAGGACTGAATTCAGGATTAACAAAACTAATTAAACATTTTTTATCAAAATTTTCGTTCTCCCTTCGATAAGATATATAATGGAAATAAGAATTATGAGGACTGCATTGTAGAAAGGACCGTTGCATATTATATTTCTATTTATAAAGGTTTTTAGAATCCCTATTAAAATATTTTTGGGATCCTATTTTAGAGGGATACAGCATATTATTTTATAGGATTAGGTTATTATCCATGTTATGTAGGAGTATTTGCATGAAATATCTGGGAGTATATTTTATACAGTTTAAGAATAGAGCAGAAATGTATGATAAAGCCTTTATGATTGCTGATATTTTCAGAGATTCAGAATTTTTCATGAATTGTGCTCCAGAATTAAAAACAACATGTTTCATAGGTTCAATATAACCTATGTGTATGTGTTGGTAAGAAATGAAATATTTTGTATTGTGTATTTGCTGAATATATTTTGACTGAATATACACATTTCTCAAAAGTGATCAGTTTGTTGTGCAAGGCTATTGTTTTGTATATCTTTTGATTATTTTATTTATCAATTTAATTTTATTATTTTGGTAGTGTTTTTTTTTTTCTGGTCAATCAGTAATTGATTATTTTTGGCCTTGATTGATCTCTTCTGTGTGAAATCCATTCATCCTTATCAGACATGTTATCATCTTAGAAACTTAAATATATTACATTTAAACTGTAAAAAAAGAATAATAGAAAAATAAGTCAAAGTTAATGATGCACTGCTCCATTAGATAAAGCACTTGCAGGTACATGCCAAAGTAGCTTTTGCCAAAATGTTTTTAAAATGTCAGTTCTGAAAAAAGTTATATATATTGTGTGTAATGGAAATGTTTTGCAATTGAAATGTTAGGTGTGGAAGTTACATAAAATATCATTAATCATAGTTTGTTATTTTTCAACCAGTCTTTTGGTTTTTGTTACATGATCATTAAAATATTTACTGATTTTACTTTGACAATATTGTTGCAGTGTTGAATTAACACGTTTATTTGTTGTGTTAAGGTAGATATTGGACTGTGATGTGTATATTTTTTGTTATTCTCGGGTGTGGTTTACGACTTGTGTAAGATTTTCCTCTATCAATTCAATTCAATTCAATTCTGTTATAATGTTTATTATCTTTAAATCAACTCAGGAGTGGACTTGTGAATATATATATATATATATATATATATATATATATATATATATATATATATATATATATATATAAAGTACAAGTTGACTGGTGAAAATGTGGACAGGTATGAGATGCGCGCAAATATCAATAGCTAGGTAATTAATTAGGATGAAGACCATAACAAGGATGAGATGAATAGAAGATGGCTTTTTCCACTCCTGGTATATATAGTTCAGGGCACTTACCTTTTTATTTTGGGCGAATTTAGTTTCTACAGTGTCTGTGTAACCGTGTAATTTGGCACATAGAAGGGACAGTAAGGAAATCTGTTTAATCTAGGACCCACCCAGTATTCCTTTGCAATATAAATCTTACATAATGATATTAGATATTGTGCTGATTCTTTTATGGAGTTGTATAATTATTCACTTTTGAATGAATTTATTTTCATGAAATTTGAAACTTTGGGGCAACTTACACGTAAGCGTTTAAAATTAGTATAGGAACCTCTCTTCTAGTTTTCTATAAAGGACGGTCTGGAATGGGGCCCGTGGCAATGGTTGCCTAATTTAGATATTTACTCTTTATTGAATACACTTTATTAAATAAACGGATCTTTTCAAAAATTCGTGTATTATCTTCCTGTTATTGGCACGAAATCTATGCAATAGAATTGGGGTGTAATGAAAAAATAATTTAGTTACGACCTTTCATTAATGGAGGGACACTTATTTGATGTTGGAAAATTTACGACCTTATATATCAATCCTCTATTAGACTCGTATATCATAACTGCGCTATAAATTTTGAAGCTGTGGAGAACTTATTAAACATGAACGCAAAGCAAATTAATTACAACTGCAGGCAATTTTTTTAATGTGCGCTCGTCGTTGAGTTTCGTATACGTATAGAATATACCACGTAAACATACTATTGCACCCTGCAAGATATTTTGTTTTGCTCTCTCAGTTCGCAAAAACTACTAAACCAAATGTACTGCCGGGTACAAGGTGTCGCAAGAATTACAAAACAAAACTATACGAAAAATATTCCGTTCAACTAGAGTGTTTTTTCAATTTCAGTGCACTGTCATTTACGTAATGAACCAGGCATTGTTAAATTTCCTTACTTAGATACGGCATGCACCTTTAAACTTTGCAAAGATAACGACCTTCTATATAATTCCTTGTTTATCTGACTTATCCCGGATTATCTCCATCGCATTTCGGAAATGTTTTTCGTTTCTTTTCCATACTTTCACCTCTTAATTTACAAGTTTTCATGAGTTGAATGATCGAAATGAAAATCGAACTGATTGTTTTGTTCAGCTGTTTCACCGTTAGTAATTAATTCGACTCAAGTCAATGAAAGGGCTAGTGGACAACATAAATTATGCTTTGATAGCTTGCTTGTTGATTCAGTGAGAGCAGCGTTACCGTAATCATTGCACGATAGCCATTACTATCAAATTGCTGATGATAAATCTCCCCTAGCTAAATAATCTCTAATCGTATCCTCGTAACTTCTTGCTGTGTTATGAAGTACCGCCTTTCAAAGCCAATTTGGACATTGAATTGTGGATGGGCACAGATGAGACCCAGGAGTGAAAAGTTTGGGTTTAAATTT